AAGGCAACAATACCGCTCCTGAATAAAGAAAGCGGCGAGGAAAATCGCTGATACCAGTTTGCTATTAGATGTAGGGTCGAAGGCATAGTCGTTCCTTAAGGCATCCTTATTATGAGAACGCCTTATTTGCTTTAGCACTTAGGAGTGGGAGGAGAACGCTCAAATATCATGATCTGAGACGTCCTTATTACCTCAACAATATTTCAGGCTGAAGTAACGGCCATACAAGTCTGCGCAAAAGCCCTAATAAGGAATGAGTCTGCCAATCAGTCGATCGTCGTCTGCTCAGAAAGCAGGGAAGCCATAAAGGCAGTAAGCTCATCGTCTAAACTAGTATGGGATTGTCGTCAACACTCTCACCGAAACAAGGTAACATTGCTCTAGGTACTAGGGCATGAAGGTCACAAAGGAAATGGAAAGGCGGGTGAGCTATCCCGACAAGGTGCGGCCAGTCGCCTTAGATCCAGAGCCTTTCTATGACAACGAGAACACGCACTAAACAGTCCATAAGAAGTTGGACCAAGAAAAAGTCTCTAGAATGGTGAAACAGCTGATTGGTGCAAAGGCAGGCAAGACAGTTCATCAAAGAACGGAGGCCTGCACTTACAGAGGACCCACTCGGATTCAATAGGAAGGCCATAAGGGCCATAGTGGACAATGTCGTCTAAATCGACAAATGAGACTCTTGGGTCTGGCAGAAGAGGCCACATGCCGTTCCTGTGACACTGTGAAGGCCAGGCAAGACTACGGTTTCAGACAGTGGTAACCACAGGTCCAACAGCGGACAGCTTCATGCAAGGCCCTGTGTCACGGCTATGGAGTGTGATCAAAGGATCAAGGCTGGACATAGTATACAGGGTGTCCCAGAAATAACACGCCAGAGTGACACGGGAGTTAGACTGGCTGCAGATCAATCAGATAAAATCAACATGACCTTAGTAAAGGTTTTCGAGATATTGCGACTCTTAAGCTTTTTCGATAAATCCCTTCTTTTTGCTCATTTTTTTGCCTGTTATGGCTATAAAGAACTTTAACTTATGATTTTCTCCTGGGCTACCATTAATAATTGGTTGAGACAACTGAGCATTCATTTCATTGAAAACTAGCACGGTATGCTAAACAAAAATTATCACATTTTTTTAAATGTGGAGACCTTGACTAAAGTTTGATAAATTACTGCGAACAAAAATTTACCAAATGATCTTAAAAACTTACAATTTACTTAGATTTTTTTGCAACATCGTCTACCCATTCTTTTGGAAGATGTGCCTCTTGAGATAAGAAGGCAGTGGTTACTGAATAATGGGTGCCCTGCACACTATGCTAGTGCAGTAAGGGGATATCTTGGTGAAACATTTCCTAGAAGATGGGTTGGCTGGCTAGGGCCAATTTTGTGGCCCTCACGCTCCCCAGACCTGAACCCTCTAGATTTTTTTTACCGGGAATGTTTAAAAGACAAGGTCTATGGAAAACCAGTTCGATCAACCGATAAAGTGTGTTATCGAAACCGCCAAGCCGCATGCGAAATATCCGATTTAAGTTTGAGATATTTGAAAGGTCAATTTTTTAAAAGATGCAGGTTGTGTATAAGAGTCGGTAATAGACAATTTGAAAATCTGTTGTGAAAATAATAATAATGATAATAATAATTTATTTCAGGCAATATTTACATTACAAGATGTTAATTTAGTTTTTTTTTAGTTAATTCAAGATGTTAATAATGATTCCTAATTTTTTATTTGATTTGAATGTTGTAAAAATCAATGGAAATAAAAAATACAACCACTATTTTGATGCCTGCATACAACAATGAATAAAAAAAGATAATGAATGTAGCTGTTTTAGACACTCCATAAAAAAACCGCTATTGCAGCAACTACAAAGTTGTAATTTGGTCAAAAAAGACAGCTGCACTTATTATTTTTTATTTGTAGTATTTCGCAAGTATTACGACTTCAATGACAAAAGTTGTAATTATTCAATTTTTAGAAAAAAAAACCTACAAATGCTATCCTTTGAATGAACATTAAATAGCTAGTTGTTAAGGTAATTTGCTGATTCAGTCTGGTACATTTTTTTTCACAGTAATTAGTCAAACTTTTGTAAAGGTGTTCGCTTTGAAACCAAATCTAATAATTTAGTTTTTTTTAGCATATGCATGTGCTAGTGTTCAATGAAATGAATACTTGGTTGTTTCAACCAACTATTAATTGTAGCTCAGGAAAATAAACATAAGTTCGAAGTTCTTTATAGCCACAACAGGCAAAAAAGGAGCAAAAAGTAGTGATTTTTTCAAGAAACTTTAAAGTGGCAATATTTTAAAACTAGAAAACTTTTACTAAGGTCACGTTGATTTTATTTGATTGATCTGCAGCCAATCTACCTCCCGTGTCACTCTGGCGTGTTATTTCTGGGACACCCTGTATGTATATAAATGTTTTAAAAATAAACAAAAAACTTTATTTATGCTCAAGAAAAAAGGGTTTGGTACCTTTAGATATATACAAAGTATGTACATACATATGTATAATGTAATATGTGTGTGCATACAAAACAATGAAATAAAAAGCCACTTTAAGAACAGAGGCAGAAATTCATGTATTGTCGTTTGTCTCATCATTTTCTTTAAAATGTGTCACTCTATTTGATTTTAAACTGGTTTGGATGCAGACTTTTCAAGTCATTAGGAATTTGATTGTAAAGCCGGTAAATGTTGTATGAGATAAGATGGCGGCTAGCGCCACCGTGTAACATTTTTTAAAAGGAGTGGAAGGTCATGTGGCAAGTTATTTTGAAGCTTCTTATGACTACTATATAACCGTGGAATGTTAAATAACTATTTTAAATGGCGGACTTGCACGCTGTCAAAGTTGACTGTTTTTGTACACTGTTAATGCATATAACTCAACAACTTATTATCAAATCGGTATAGTATGTTATATCCATTTTCTTATATTGGCTACCTGAATGAGCATTTAAATTTAGGACACTGAGTTTTAAAAAAAATTTACAGATTTTGATTTTTTTTTTAATGGAGTGTCCCATATTTCATTACAAATTTGGATACTCCCATCTAAGAGAAGACTGATATAACATACTATAAGCATTCTTCATGATTGGATATTATGATAGGTAATTATTTTATATTCTAGGGTCATAAACGCCGACCGCCCGTGTGTAAAAAGGGGCCGAGACCGCCCACTACAGAGGTGACATTGATCTGTCAAACAGCCCTCCTTTAAAAGGCATCGTGTATGGATAGTGTTGTAGTAGCGGCAGCACCCCAAACTTGTGAGCAGTACTTGAGGCTGAGTCTTATCTGGGACTTGTACAGCTCCATTGAAAAATGGCGTCAAGAAAGTTCACTTTGTAACATCCCATGCTGTCATCAATTCGTGTTTGGTACAAGTCAACCTTTCTAAGGAAAAAGTTAGCTAAGAACGTGTATAACAAAAAATTAAATGACCTTCCTTCCTTCTTCAATCGCCATCACACCCATTTTTACAGAAACTTTTTGTGGTATTTTACATGCATTCGAGAGAGTACACCTGTATTTAAATTCAATGTTCAAAACATCGCGCATAAATGATTGTAAACATTTTCCTCGTAAATGCTTTTCTAGCAACATCCAATGAATTTCATTGGTATCTTCTCTCACCTGCAGCAGAAATAATGAACATCCAAAATATATTTGAGACGCTTTAATATAAGAGCCCTCTATTACAAGCTATTTATGGATTGATAAGGGAAAAATAATTCTCTTATCATAATTGAATCTCACAAACGAGCTGAACTGCCTCATTCTCATAAAAGGAAAAACGGTGTTTACGAGGAGCGAAACGAGATGAAATACGGCAGGTAAGATATTGTACAACTAGCGCCATCTAGATGTTTCAAATGGAGGCAAACTGAAGGTTGCCAAGCTTCATAATTTATCGTGATATCTCATGAATTCGGGAGAAAATATCGTTGAGTACACAATTTATTGAAATGACGGCCAATTTAAAATTGGAAGCTCACATAACTATGCGATTAGAAATTGCAGAGCAAGATGGCAGTCACCCTACCCGTGTACTCATATGTTGTAGCTTAAATGTGAATTAAACAATAAATGTAATTCAAAAGGAAATATTTCATTGTTGACCAAGTCAATCCTTTTTTTTGTCTTCGTGCAAATCAATTTATGACTTCTTTATAGACATATAAAAGTGCATAGTCCAGTTACGCAATCTTCTACCATAGAGGCTTGTAACCACGTCTTGAGCCTCATGAGTGATTACACTGTCTAAAATTAGATTTGCACAGCCTTTCGAAAATACTCTGCCGGCAACTGAGCAAAAAGTATAAAACACATAAGCACTATTTTATTAATATTTGCCTCAAGCAGCAAACCTATAGACTTTTGCAACCCTCTTATTTCCAGGCCATCATAGGCTTACAAATTGATCAGGGCTGCCAGGCATGGTGATTTTTCACCCATATGTATCCATTACATATTTGCAAAGTCTGTATTTTATTAAATTAATCAAAGAGATCCACCTCCCAAGATGTGATCCTGGATCCGCGCCTGCTCTGCGAGGAACTATGTAATCATTAAAAAATGCAAAAATGATCCTGTCTGTCTGCTAATCCCCGACCTCTTAATAACTTTGAAAGTACTACTCTGATTTTGATGAGGTTTAGATTTTGATGCAATGTTACTACTAGCCACAGACATAACATCTATGTTGGTTTTGAAAATTGTTCCAGCGACTGCACAACTATGGGCAAAAAATAAGAATCAACCTAATTTTTTTAAATTCTTTGGAAAGATTGGAAGTTGGTGGTTGTAACTGTTGCATAATGTGATCTCTATTATATATATGGCAACACTGAGTGTTATCTGTTATAATGGTTGCATATGCACAATATGCAGAATAGATTAAATAAATTGACCTAAAAAATATGTGGAAAAACAATGAATAAAATAATTACCAAACTATAAAACTGAAAACACTCACCCAATATTAATAGTTCTTTTCTTCTGTATGCCCTTTGTGGGGTCAGCACCTAGAAGAAGACCATATTTTAAAAAAGTCTCAAGATTCTCATGTCTCAAATCTAATAGGCCATGATAAGAGTGGATTTTATTATATGGAGCCGATTTCAATTTTTTATATGGCAAATAAAAGAATGTAGTCAGGAGAAGGTTAAAACTTTTTCCATAAAACTCAATACCTAAATAGGACAAAGATCATTATACACTCGATAAGAGTCAAATTCCGAAACATACATTGACCATTAAATTCCTAAGGATCGACCAACTCTATCTACAACTTATAATTGCTCTGAAAGCCCTGTATTTTTTCATTTTCGTCCAAGAAACACTTCAAAAGAACTATGTGTACTAACCTGGTACAGAATGTGTAACAGCTGACATTTGTGAAAAAATACATGCGTTTCAAATGAATGCCGTTGTAACCTACGATACACAACACAACGTTTCATATAATTTTTTAAAGTCCGTCAGTTTGTACTAAGGGCACATTGCAGAAGTCCAAACTTATGTTTACAACAAAACCGCGGCCATGTTAGAAAAAGTGCTAGGGGTGGGAGGGTCGTCATACAATCAATATAGCCAATATACCAAACCAAAAATAACCATTTTGTTCACACAGAACAAAACTTGTCATAAATGACATTTAACTATTTTGACGTTCTGACTAAGGACAGGTCCGGATCTTACGTGATCCTTAACAGCATAGACAGGACCCCATTCAGAAATATCATTATGTTTTTCATGTTTCACTTCTTGAATTGCGAATTTATAGAAGCGTTATGAGTCGTTAGCAGACGAGCCCCGAGCTGAGCAATCAGTGGCGTATTTTAAGATTCAGCAGCCTGGATCCCTTAGGGCCGTATCATCAGTCGTTTATACAATTGTAGGACGCCTTTATGGCCTCCTTGATTTTCAAAGTTTTTTTCTCTCTGAAGCTATGTTTTATTTTTGAATTGTAAGGGTGATAAAACGGATGTTATAAATCAAAAGCTTGATTAATTTGATGCAAATAGATATTTGTGACATAACCTCACAATAGAGCGCTGACACGGAACATTAGAAAATGACTGATGATACGGCCCTTAAGGTTTGCCGCCCCATGAAGGAGTGGAGAAACGCAAAAACTTGGGCCTTCTTCTTCTAATTTAATTGGAACTATAATTTTGTATATATGCATAATTAATATCTTGATCTATATCACATTAAAATCACTTTCACAAGTGTTGCATATATGCAAGTGACCCATTTAAACTATTTTTTATCTTACAAATGGGAAAAGGAACGCTGATGTAGCAAACAAAATAGCCCAGGGAAGAAGAGCGGTACGTCAACTAAACTCGCCACTATGGAGCGACAAAATAACAAAAAGAAATAAAAAAGATATGTATCGTTCAATTGTTTAAAGTATCAGCATTTACGGAGCAGAAACTTTGGAGCTAAATAAAAAAGAAAAGAACAGACTTCTGTCCCTTGAAATGGACTTCCGGAGAAGAAGTAGCCGACACTCAAAGCTAGACCACATACGTAATGAAAGAATAAGAGAAGAAATGGACGTCGATGGAAATGTACTCGATACCATAGAGTCAAAGCGGCTAGCTTGGTACGGCCATCTAGAAAGAATGAACCATAACCGATGGCCTAAAAGATATATATACAAATTTTAAATTGTCATTATCATGTGTAGGTCTTACTTCTTTTTTTAACAGTAATTTTAAATATGCTTCCTTTGACTTGTCACATGTATTAATATAGTAAAATGTGTGATCAACAAATATCTATCTATTTAGTATTCTAGCCAAAATGCGTTTTATAAGAAAACAATTTTTTGTGGGTTCTTGAAATTCCAAATTAATGTCTTTTGAATTTTAAAGAATTCATTACTCCACCTAAGACACAAATGCTACATGGAAAATAGTCAATTAGTGTGACGCTGACTTTGTCTCACAGTGTATATTCCCTATGCCCCGTCTAGTTTTCTAATACACCCTTTCTGGCGACGTCATGCGTGGGTGAAAAAATTCAAATTTCCCGCGCTACCGATTTTGCCAGGTCAAGCGATGGTGCTATCCTGTATCGGTTTGTGTTTTTTGTACTCAAAGCAACAGTAGCAGGTGTAAGGTCATGAACCTTGTTCAATGTAGAATTCTTATTTTAAATTCAATGAAAGGTCACAGTGAATTTTATTTGCTGGCGAATACTACCGCAAAATTATGTAAAAAATTGTGAGAGGCAGCTAAAGGTCTGTACTTCGTAAATGGCATTCGCTAGTGTTTACAAAATATAGGATGGATATGGATCAAAGCATCAAAAACGAAATGTTATCCGAGCAAAGCATTAAAAGCGAAATGTTGGCAGAAAAAAACAGGAACAACAGCAACAATATGTGCTTAAATTTAGAGCTCTGTGTGGTCTGTGGAGACAGGGCATCTGGGAGACACTATGGAGCTATTTCCTGTGAAGGTTGCAAAGGTTTCTTCAAAAGGTCCATACGCAAGCAATTAGGGTATCAATGCCGAGGTAGCAAGAATTGTGAGGTTACCAAACACCACAGAAATAGATGCCAATATTGCAGACTGCAAAAATGTCTGGCATGTGGGATGAGAAGTGATTGTAAGTTAACACTTAAGCATTTACCTAATAACTGTTCTTTGAAAGCTGATAGAAACTGTAGCATTCAAATCGACAAACTCCAGAAATGTATGGAGTACGATCACCATAGAGATTGTGAGTTTATACTTATCTACATTATTATGTTATTTCAAAATATCAGCATCATGATGTGTCTAGATGTAACTCGCTACATTGAAGGTCTAACTTGTAGCCATTTCGTTAAGAATCTAGTAGAATATTTAGACACTCAATACTCTATTCAAATCAATAAAGTCTTGTCGAGGCTTATACATGGCATTGAAACAAATATGAACACATTTGCTTGCCTCTGCATGCCTAGGTATTCCTCCAATAGGAGCACACAAATTTAAATGTCATACATCAGCATTTGTTTTGATGGGGCATAAATAAGATTTGGATATACAGTAGATGCTATATTATCAGAATCTGTATCAAGGATTGCTTTGAGTCTCATGTTTAGGGAATTTATATAGTTTAAAACCCTCAAAGCAGTGTTTCTTAATCTTTTAATAGTTGTGACCCTATTTTCAATCACATTTCTAATCTTACCACCATGAGTGGCAATTTCTAATATTGAACATTATTTGAAGAACTTGTTCTACAAGATAGGTCCAAGGGAGTCACTAACAGTTATTAAATTAAATTAATTTGAATTAGGTTAATCATAACAATTAATAAGCTTAAAATGAGAGTGTGTAGGTATAAGTGTTATTTCTTATTATACTCAGTGACATTAGAAGTATTACATTCAGAACAAATAATTTGTTCAACTTGATTTTCTGGCAATGAGGTCCTACATCAAGAATAAAACGATAACACTCTCATGAAATTTTATTGACAAGTAGTAAGAAAACAAATTAATGTGTTGGGCAACCCTGAAGCTGAATATACTCCTGTATACATCTGGGCATTGACAAAATGAGATGATCGATGTCTGGTTGTCGCACCTCATTCCAAGCAACTCGAACTTCATGGATTAGCTGTGGCAGATGGTGTGGATAGTGTGCTCCCCATCATCCCACACATGATCGATGGGATTTAAATCCGGTAAACAGAGTGGCCACAGCAAAACATTTACGCCAGCTTCTTGAAGAAAGCCCGTAGTACGACGAGCAATATGGGGATGTGCACTGTCTTGCTGAAAAAGGATGTGTGGACAGGCATGAAAGGGCAATAATTAAAAATATCTGTACTTACTACTCAGCTCTCAGAAACTGCTTTCTTCACAAAAACTAAGAGATTACATTTTAACAAAGGTAAACAAAAAGAAAGATAAAACGTTGACATTGTTGCCACAGCATGCTTTAAATATAGTCATTATGTTTCCAAAAAAAACAAGTTGAAGAATTTTTTTTCTGGGTGTAACACTTCTAATGCCACTAAGTATATATCAGAATATATTATTCCCTTTTAATAATTAAATAAAACTTTTGAGAGAGAATCACTGCCTTAATGTATAAAAGATTTTAAAGAAAATCTTATTTTGTAAAACTAGAGCCAAGTACCTTTTCCAAAGTAAACTTTTTTTCTTGCTGTTATACAGTAGTGTGACTGTTGAGTCTTGCACATTATTTTTTTTTGTTAGATGGAAAACAAATATAGGCAGGATTATACAAATATTTTATTCATAAAGAGAAATGAAAGAATGAAAGATCTAAATAGCTGTTTAAGAATTTGTATTTCTAAATTGATGAACAGATATTTTGTGAGAGTATGATCTGTGAATCATTTTTGTTATAAAAGAATGAAATTTCTCATTTTTGTCGCAAGTTTATTTTACAAGACCAAAGGATAAACTTCTTGTTTTCTAGAACTTCTACTGAAATTTGTTGGAATAGTAAAATTTAACCCAAATGATAAGAAATGCTTCTTTTTGGTATTTGTGATCCTGTCAAATATAAACATATTTTGAATATAATCTAGTTCAAGGGGGCCCATATATGCCCAAGTCTGCCTGTTTTTTTAAAGGAAATGGTTTATATTGCTGTGTCTTGGTGTGAAAATTGCCCCTCCTTTTGATGCTTAAGCATGCAGCTCTTCAATTTATAATCGCTGATACCCCTGGAGGCAAACATTTTCCTGAATATGAATGTTATGACTACCACTCTTAGACATATCCTAAATCCACCCTTGATCTAGTTCTTATTTAAGTGGAATTCTATGAACAATTCTTTATACATATATTTTAATATCATAATTTTTCAGCCGTACAACATGAGAGGAAACCAATAATAGATAAGAAAGAATTCTCAAACAGTGATGTCAAGTTTAACCAAACCACAGTTAATGCTATTAACAAAATATTTATCAGAAAGGATCTTAATACTGACACAAGATTTATGCCTAATCCATTCTGTCCTAGCGATCTGGTATTCTTGAATAAAAGATTTGGTAAGTTCAAGACTGTACTTTGTTGTTGCTGTTGGCATAATCTCTAGTTTGATAGTGTTGTTTAAATGAGGGATACACGAAGTACTACTTTTTTCACTCAGTCCAACCAACAAACAAAAAAGTTTGCTTTCATGTAATAAATCGGCTACAAAACAGCTGTTAGAGATGCAATATTTTTTAATTCTAATTAATTCGTATGCTCCTGATTTTTGCACGCACAAATGTTATCACCCATAGAAATTCATCGCCACTTGAGTGATGTGTATGGGAAACGTGTATAAGCATTCAACATGTCCTCAAATAGTGAATAGAGTTCTCTGAATGAACGCTTAAAAATCAACGTTTCCAGCGGTGAATTCGTTTTTTTTAAAAAAAAAAGTTCCTTGTGCCTGAAAAAAATGTTGGAACCTGATTTTCGAAACAACCCTCGTAGTTTAAATTCATACCTGTTCTGTAATTATTTTATGTTGCGTGTGTAAACTTTTTGTTATGTTTTGTCCATATTGTGGTTAAGTCGAAGAGTAGCCATCAAGCTGAACTTCGCCATGACGTGGAAGATAACCAATATTAGTCACTTTATTATCACTCCCAGTTCAAATACAGGGTGGACCAGAAAGACTTACGAATTTCAAAACCGTATTGCTCGTGACAGGCACGCGGGAGCGGGACACGTGTAGTGGGGATAAGTAGCTTGGTGCTCGGAAATTTAGTCGCCATGGGGCGTTCCACCGGTGAGCTGAGTGTTAAGGCTTATTACAAAAATGGAGGTTCGTGCATTACTGCGCGGCGTCGTTCTCGCTCTGAGTTTAGTTTACATGATCTAAATCAATGTCCTACTGAAAGTGTGATCAGATTGTGGGTCAGAAAGCTCGAGTCTACCGGTTCGACTCAATCAGAAACCTCCGGGCGTTCAAGGTCAATACAAACAAAGCGAAGTTGCGACGTCCGTACGGCGCGATCCACAGTTATCATCCCGAAAGAGATCAGCTGAGCTCGCTATAACAAGAACATCTGTAAGACGTATTGTAGTAAAATACCTCAATTTGCACGCACATAAACTGCAACAAGAATTGAAACCGCAGGACCACCATTTACGTCGTTCGTTTGCCGAAACAATGTTGAAGCGCTTTCACGTTTGAACAACATCCTCTTTTCATTTTTATTTTAGTGGATTTTCAACAAGAAAATTACCGGTATTGTGTCGCAGAAAATCCCAAATTAAAACACCAACGACCTTTGCATTTGCGTTATGTTAAAGTCTGGGCGGCCATGTCGGCTGAAGGAATCATCGGACCCTATTTCTTCGAAAGCGAGCAAGGCCAGTCTGTAATAGTACATTCTAATCGCAACAAAGCAATGCTACATAACTTTTTCTTCCCACAACTGCATAATTTTGAAGCCTACCATAGCAGGAGCTGGTTTCATCAAGATGGCGCGACATCCCATACCGCCAACGAGTCTTTTTCAGTTGTAAACGAAATGTTTAGTGGAAACTGATATCGCGACGAGAGGACATTCCGTGGCCTCCCCGGAGCCCAGATCTCGCCCACTTGATTTTTCTCTCTTCAAAAAAACCGATGATGGTTGCCCAGCTGGAGCGCAACATTTCCGAGGAGATCTCCGCTATCCCAAGAGCGATGTGCCAGCGAGTTTTCACGAATTTGAAGTCGGGATTCAACGAGTGCGTACGCCTCGATGGCTCACATCTCAATGTTGTTATTTTAAAAAAATAAAATTCCGAGTGTACAGTTTTAAAAATATAAATTATCTTCCCTACGTTTTGTAGTTTTTACACTATGATTTTTTTAAATCTGCTCAACTCAATACAGTACGCTACCATGAATATTACACAACTTTTATTTTTAGCAAACAATACTACGTCAGAGATTCCATACCATCTCTCTCCCAGTCATGCCAGTATTGAAGATGATGTGTCCATGGACAGTACCAATACTGGAACAGAACTTAGTGATGCAATATCCACTGCTCGTGATAAGCAGTTAATTTCAAAAGCTCTTGACACAATGGCTCGTGTCCAGTGTTTGAATGGAACAGATTTAAGTGCCTTAGCAACTGACGAGAAGTGTTTTGACTATGAAGGGCCTATTCTTCAAGATCAACACGTTGTTTTCAACCTGCAAATTCCCGGACCTGTACCTCCATATTTGAATATTCATTATATTTGTGAGAGTGGGTCACGTTTATTGTTCTTATCTGTGCACTGGGCTAAAAATATTCCAGCTTTCCAGTTTCTAAGGTAAGGTGATATATGGATAAAACATTTTTTTACAAATTAATCAACCTAGATGTACCTAGGTAATTTGGGGAGCTGAATTTGAATATGATCATGAAAAATTTCTGAAGACCGATATTTGGGGAATCGTTCATTCCGTGTGATAGTTTGAAACGAAACATTGTAGATGCAATCCAGGATAAACTCCCTCAGAAATTTAAGGAACCTTTTTCGAACCTTTCATATAAATTTGGTAATTCAGGCATATTCAAGTTTGCTACGCAAATATGGAAAATATAGTAAATTCAAAGCCATGAAATTGACTACAATTTCTAAAAAGGAAACAATGGTTTTGGAACTTTTTGAGAAATATGGGGAGCCAATGTTACTTTGGTCAGAAAGAACTTGAATTTCAGAGTATTTCTCATACGCACTGTTGTAGTTTGTAAGTAAAATATAACATACAAATTTCCAATTTCAGTTCTGAAACTCAAGTATCCCTACTACGCAGCTGTTGGCCAGAACTATTCACTCTTGGACTAGCCCAGTGCTCACAATTGCTGTCACTGTCTACAATTCTATCAGCATTGATCAGTCACTTGCATGCATCGATAGCACAGGATAAAATGCCTGCAAGCAAAGTGAAGCAAGTCACTGATCATATTGTGAAACTGCAAGATTATGTGACAAGTATGAACAGACTGCAAGTCAGTGAACATGAATATGCATATTTGAAACTGATCACGTTATTTTCTGCTGATCAGCCTGATATTCTGTTGAAGAAGCAGTTGGAGATTTTCCAGGAAAAATCTTTCCAAGGACTTAGAAGCCACGTTGCCGGGAATGCACCAGATGATAGCGATCGTTTTCCAAGGTAGAAAAAATACAAGGGTTGTTCCAAAAATAAGGTTCCAGGCACAAAGATTTTTTTTTCTAAAAAACGAATTCACCATTAGAAACGTTGTTCCTTAAGCTATTTTTCTCCATACTACTCATTTTTTTAGACGTGAAATCCACTTTTGCACTCCCCCATCAAGGAAGTCGGCCGCCATCCCGTTTAGAAACTTGGTAACTGCTCCTTGCAGCTCCTCGTCCGTCTCGAACCGCCAAATCGCTAGATACAGTCCTTCGTTTGTTGAGAGACATGAGGATGCGCATTGCTGTGGTGCAGTCTTAAGCTTTGCTGGAGTTTTCCCTACGACGATTTTGGATTGCCCTTCTCAGCTTTTTCAGAAGCCTCAGAGTTTTCAACCGCCAGTACCCGGATCTTGATTCGCTGATCTTCGAGCAAGATTTGCTGAATATTCGCCAAAACTTCCTCGGAGATCGACAGCCTCCTTCGTTGTTTATCGTGGATGTCCATGCGGCCGCCAGACCACTCTATTCACCATTTTAGGACATGTTGAATGCTTATACACGTTTTTCCATATACTTTACTGAAGTGGCGGTGAGTTTCTCTGGGTGGTAACGTTTTTGCGTGCAAAAATCAGATGACCGCACGAATTTCCCACCTGGCGGTGGCGGCGATGGCTGTAAGGCCAGTACTCATCATTGCCAATAGGCGCTTCTTGTTGGGATATATGGTTGGAGAGCCGACAAACACGACGTTGTTGCCAGATTTCGCCTAGCATCACGCACGGCAAAGATACAGTATTGGGAACCATATTTTTGGAACAACATTCGTATTTGTTGAAATCCTTGTACCAAGACAAAAAATACGGAAAGGCTATACGGATTTGCTGTTCAAAATCTCTGTTTTGCTTGATTGTCAATTAGGTTAAATCTGGTTTAAACCAAAATATCGTGGTTGAAACCTAAAAACCTGTTTAAAAAAACCATGGGTTTTAACCAACCCTGCTTCTTTCTAATAGGGGTACTTATGCCGAACATCATTTTACTTCCTATACCTTTAAGCAACATGAAACTTGCTTACCGAAGTTCGAATATTATTTCGAGTTTAATACCTTCCATCGTTTAGGTAGTCGTAGATTTTGAAAGTTGATTCGGGGGCGGCGGAAATAAAATCGCTGGAACATAGTGTTACAACGTACAACCTTCTGATCTCAGTAATACTATGCACCTGTTCGACATAATAAGTAATATTTTCCCTAAATCTCCCATGGAAACATAAATATGATAGATTTGCTTTATATAGTTTGATATGCAGAGGTCGAAGATTCATCGTACCTAAGTGAACCTACCTAATCACGATTCGATTTCGCTTTTTAAAACAATTTGGCTCCAACGAAGGCGTAAGAAGTGTAGAGTCAATCCACTTGATCCCAGTTTTATAAACTTTGCATAAGAAGTGCAAAATTTTGGATACACTTTTTTCCATATATTTTCTGTGTATCCTTTAGGTAAATTTTCAATGTTGAATTTTCCTTTGCAGGTTATTGCTGCGCCTTCCGCCTTTGCGTGGTTTGGATTCTGCAATACTGGAAGAACTTTTCTTTGCTGGCCTGATTGGGCAAGTTCAAATTGACAGTGTGATTCCCTATATTTTGAAAATGGGGAGCACTATTTCTACACAGGCAAATAGCAGGCAGGTTAAAACAGAACATGATGAGTTTCTATGTAAATAATTAATTACTCGATTTTTCATCAAATTTTACAGAATCAGTTTGATCTATTCATTAACCGACTTATGAGAAAAGTATTATTAGATGTTAATTTTAGCTTTGCAGTGCAAATTTTTTAGGGAGATTTTTCGTTTTTATCAAAATATGTAGGGAATTTAAATACATTAGATAAAAATAGTCACTTGTTATTGTATGCCATTCTTTCATTAAATAATTTCAGTTTGTAGTAATATTGAATTAAACCTGTTTTATATAATCACATGGTGCAAAGTGTTTATTGAATGGGAACAGTGATAATTCTAATGAGCTTGAATATATTCTGTAGGATGCGTGGATACTGTTTATTCTTAAGTCTAAATTACCTGATGATAACAATAACTAATAATTTTGAAATTCGTAGATTTCTAGATTTTTCGTGCAATTTGTAGGGAATGTTCACTCATCATGTTAAATGCTTTAGAGATGTGCAATTATTTTAAAATTATAATGGATAGTTTTTTGTTTTCCGGAAGTTACAAATCTGTATCTAAGCAGCCAAATATCATTGAAAAATATCAATGATACTACTCCAAAAATTAAGGGAGCAAGAAAGAAATTCAATTTTTTCAGGGATTTTTGACAGGATGTATTTCGGTGAAAAAAGTTGTCTAGATTTTAGAAAGAGGAGCAAAATTTTTGTATCAAAATACCGTGTAAACTGGTTGAAAATGGAAAAATCATTTTTCTTTTATTGTCACTATTGAATATCTGTAACACCTTCAATTTTAAAAATGGTCGGCTTTTTGAAAAAAGGAACTCGCCCAGAAAAACAATTATTACTGAGCAATTATGCTTTAAAGTTTTGACAATGATAAAAAATTCATTTTAGACCAAAATCGATTTTAATTAATGGCATTCTAAAGGCTTTAAATATGTATATATATTATAAGACTAAACAATTTATAAGTTATACTAATAAATTATTTTCCTAAATTGTAGATTTTCCATGTTTAGTGTGTTGGTTCCTTTCTACAAAAAGCCGTCCAAATAGCAATTGGAAAAATTATATTCTTTTATTCATGGAATATTCCAAAAAACAAAAATATTAACCAGGGGCGGAACTAGAAAATATTCAGTGTTCCGTCGGACCGAAATCACCGAGAAATTTGGATTTTTTCTTGGTCTCTTAATTTTTTTAAGTAGTGTATAAGAAATCTCAGGTAACTGACTACCTTTTTAGTTTGATGGCATTTTTTCGCAGTTGAGTAATTTGATCCAGATCAGTATTGATTAACTGCTTAAATAAACTTAATGCAGAATGAGGTGTTTTGTGCACCCGGTCTCCGTTGAATATGAAACCCTTTTCAAACTATACTTTCTTACTTTACCAAAGAATGATGAATCATTTTCAATGGAACATAATTTAGTTGCATCTAATATTTATTCTAGACGGTTTTAAGTTAGTTTGTAATGAAATGTCATGTACTTAAACGTTCATTTGTATATTTTTGTATTAATAGCTTTTTATTTTGAAGTTTCAAAGTAGAATACGTATTTTTTGTTCAATGTAAATAATTTATATTTATACACAAGATGTTCAGTTGGAATTTATATCCATATATATATATTTCACTTGGAATGTCTGAAACTATGCTATCCTAGCTAATACATTTTTTGCCCAGTTTGCATAATTGTGCAGTTTGTTTTACACTATGAATTTCTTGTACTTATGTTGATGTGATTATCACTTGTAATTGTATTGGATTAGATTAATGTGGAGAGACTACACTCTACTCGTAGTAGTCTTTGGCGTTTTATCTCAGTCGTTTTTACAGGGTTTCAAGGTTAAAAAACCATGTTTCTTTACTGCTGCACTTTGTTAGCAGACTATATTTTTCTCATTTTACTTCAGGCACGGATTCAGCATCACATCTTTGGGAGCAAGTAGTGTGGGTTTCCTACTTTCAGGGGTTATTGTCAATACTTTTATGCTTCCCTCCCAGTTTTTTCCTCCTATCCTCTTCCTTTTTCCTTTCCCGTTCCTCTCATTCTTTCCCTTTTCCTCATTTCTTCCTGCAAGTCTGAGGTGCTGGCACCATTTCCCCCCACGGATCCGTGCCTACTTTACTTATAATATTGAATAAAAATATAGCTTGTAGCTTATTGTTGTACAGGGTAATTCGTCATGTGATGTTATCTTCAGCTCGGGTAAATGCATGAAGCTCTCAAATCCTATGTTTTTCTTCATGTTTCAGTCGAATATCGTGAATATCGATTACAAGGCAAGTCTTGCTTTGGCTAATTCGGTAAATTGCCCTATTATAATTTGACATGTGACACCCTGTATATAAATGATCGATAAAGTTTGTCCTCCAGAAAATTTGATGTGTTATGCAAATCACTAGTTTTGATTCTTCCTCGTTATTTTGTTATACAGGGTGTCCCAGAAATAACACGCCAGCGTGACACGGGAGGTAGATTGGCTTCAGATCAATCAGATAAAATCAACATGACCTTAGTAAAAGTTTTATAGTTTTCCAGATATTGCTACTTTTAAGTTTTTTCAAAAAATTCCCAGTTTATGCTCCTTTTTTGCCTGTTATGACTATAAAAAACTTCTAACTTATGATTTTTTTGGGGGGCTACATCCGAGTATTCATTCAGTTGAAAACTAGCACGGTATGCTAAAAAAAAACTAAATTTACATTTGGTTTCAATGCGAAAACCTTTACTAAAGATCAACTAATTAATGAGAAAAAAATGTAAAAGACTGAATCACCAAATGACATTTAAAACTAGCTATTTAATGCTCTTTCAAAAGTAGTATAACATTTGTAGGTTTTTTACTAAAAACTGAAAAATTCCAACTTCTGTCATTGAAGTCATAATACTTGCGAAATACTATATTAAAAAATAGTAACTCTCTTATACACAACCTGCATCTTCTTAAAAATTGTCCTTTTAAACGCCTCAAACTTAAATCGGTTATTTTGCGTGCTGCTTGACGGATTCGATGACGCAGTTCATCGGCTAATCGAACTGGTTTTCCATGGACATTATCTTTTAAACATCCCCAGGAAAAAACCCAGAGGGTTCAGGTCTGGTGGGTGTAGGGGGCACAAAATTGATCCTAGCCAGCCAATACATCTTGTAGTGAATGTTTCATCAAGATATCCCCTTACTGCACTAGCATAGTGTGCAGGTCACCCATCATGCTGTAACCACAACTTCTTTTTGTCACGAGAGGCACATCTTCCAAAAGAATGGGTAAATGATGTTGCAAAAAATCTAAGTAAATTTAAGTTTTTAAGTTCATTTACCGTTTCAGTCTGGTACATTTTTTTCACAGTAATTAGTCAAACTTTAGTAAAGGTTTTCACATTGAAACAAAATGCAATAAGTTTTTTTAGCATACTGTGCTAGTTTTCGATGAAATGAATACTAGGTTGTCTCAACCAACTATTAATGGTAGCCCAGGAGAAAAAAATCAGCTTGAAGTTCTTTATAGCCATAACAGGAAAAAAAAGAGCAAAAAGTAGTGATTTCTTGAAAAAGCTTAAAAGTGGCAATATCTCGAAAACTAGAAAACTTTTACTAAGCTCATTTTGATTTTATCTGATTGATCTACAATCTACCTCCCGTGTCACCCTGTATAATTCAGTGGTAAATAGGAAATTAAAAACCAAAAATAAATAATTGCTCTGTATAATAAATATTGTTTGTAATTTGTGCAATTTGCATTTTTTGACGTGATACAGTGACACATAAACGTAGTTAAATACCATTAAAAGACAGGTGAAATCGTTTGTTTACTAGAAAACAAGTTTTATTAAAGAAAATTTGATTCTAATGATTTTATGTTTGCCTTCTTAACTACGGTCATGCTTTTAGGTGAAAGTGCCTTTGAAATTATAAATGACATTTATGTATCTGTATATATATATATATATATACTTGTATTATCAAAATTGTATTTTTAACAAAATACATATTTTCCACAGAAAGAAACCCATCTTTTATTGTTCACCGTATAAGTATGGTATCGATTTAAAATAACATAGCACCAGAATATCTATATGTACTTACAGATATTGATTCCGTCAGTCTATTTGTTACTTCCGTTTTTTACTTAACTACAGATACGCAAACTTAAAAAAAAACATTTGTTTTTTAACTCAGCGCCCTTACATCCGTTTTCAAACTTGATACCATACAGTATATTACAAGTTTTGACAAAATCGGAATTGACTACTGGAGTTACATAATGACAAAGAAAACAGTACGACAGATGAATCATCGCCAATCAGTGACGAAGAGGTTAAAAACTGTTTTAAACTCGCATTCTTTTAAGCAAAGGATATTTGTCAAGCATTGTCCATGCCATAAAAACAATTAGATGAATCGCCCTGTATAAATACAACTACTCGATTCCATTAAAACATTTTTTTGATATCCTATTCCGTACGTGCACCACAGCATTACCCTGTATAAAGCAATAAAAAAGTGAGACACCTAAAAATATTAAAGGATTTTTGCCCAGTGCACCTTAGTACTCTAGAAACAGGAATATTATCATGACCACTATCGTATGTACATATTTTGCTCACTAAAACAGAGTTCAAAGTCACTCTTACGAGGGCGGTCCGATAAGTAATTTTGCCCCAGCGATGCTCCAACTTCTTTAACCCTTCTGGAGGTCTGCAAAGTAGGCCTCTGTGGTGGCGAGAATCTCCTCATTCGACTCGAATTTCTGCCTGGCGAGTGAATTTTTCAAGTCGCACGGGGCTAAATCATGAGAATGGGCAGCAGTTCGTAGCCTGATTCGACTAATTTAGCCGTGGCGGATGTACGAGCCGGTGCGTGGTCATGGTGGAAGTGCTCTTTTTTCTTCGCCAAATGGGGTCGTTTTTTCTGCAATTCGGAACCGTGTATCATTCAGCCGATCATCAGCGAAAAAGCACGATTGTACTTGACGCTGAGCTCAACGATGTGCAAGCTCCATGCATGTTCGCCGTTTGGCAATGGTTCGGCCATTTTAGTTTATAAATCTATGGATTTGACCGAGAACACAATGGCTTCGTCGTTTTTAACGTACATTGTGGTACAATTTAGTAGGGACGATAGTATTGCCACATAGTCAATAAGGCTAGAGTGACATCCAGGAAACAAAAAAGGTTTTCGCCTCATGTGAAAAAGCAAAGCGATTTTGATAAATTGCTACAAACAAGTTCTGAACCATTGTAGGGCTCAATGGCGGATTTAGGATTTCGTCTAGGGGGGTGGGGGGCGCAAACGATATTTGGGGCTGATAATTTTCCAACCTCAGTGAAACTTTTAGAATGTATCCTATTATTGCTCCTTAAATCTATTGTGTTCTATCTGGTCAATGCGAAAAATTCACATTAACGTATGGACGCTAGACGAGATAAAGAAGGATGTCTATAGATCATCTATATGATATGAGGTATTGATTTTGAGCACCGATCGACGCATTTTCTGGAAAGGCCACAGGCTCACCGCTAAACAGACCTCATATATGTCTATTTCCAGTTTAGGCGTTCATCTAACATAGTGCTTCGCACCAACCCCTGAACAAAATCAGTCAAGCTTTACACAATTACTATTGAGCAACAAACAGAACATAAATCACTTTTTAAGTGCAATCTGTATAGCTAATATATTACTCGGACTTGTCAGATTTGTCACAAGTCACAATACTCGTATATACGTATAAATCGTAAGAATTGTGATGTAAACGTAAATGATGTCAAAGAGGGACAGCGTTTGGAATACCAAAGGATACCAAAAAAATGCAATGCTCAGTTCCTATAGCTATAAGTTATAGTTAGTATGCCTCTGTCGCCATGATGTGTTAAAAAGTAGCATAATGGTGTTAGATTGCAAAAGCAAGTGTCAGACGTCTAGGGGGAGCGCGCGCCCCTCTAAATCCGCCACTGAGAGGACTGGAACGTGCGTGAGATCAAACGGAGTTTTTAGTGTTTTATTAAGCATTTCGATACACCTTGTACAAATGCTCCTGAAAAATTGCGGAGGTGATAACGACGTCTCGTAACGAGAGGGTTCAAGAGTGGTAGTTAAGTAGAATATGAATTTCGGCGCCTTTCTACCAGCCCTGAACTCACTGCTTGTGAGGCCTCTTAATCACATCCTGAATTTTTCAGGAGCATTTGGATACGCGACGCAATTATTTTTGCGAGCGACTGTACGTCATATCGACCTCAGATAGACGTCACATCGACTTTGTATTTGGACTTTTAAGCCGCGTACAGACCGAGATTCCATCGCGAGCCAAGGCACATGTGGTTACAGATTTGGAGGTGTTCGAATCGGTGTGTACGGCGCAATCCAACGTGAGCCAACGATTTCCAAGCTCGGCGTTGGCTCCTTGATCGGTACATCAAAGGGAGGTTTGATTTGGTCTGGACAGGATTTGTTGCGCTTCTAGTATTTAGTCGTTTGTCTGCTTGTCTGATGAGAAGAGACTCATCGCTCGACATTAGCACCAAACTTAACCCGACACGGTCCAACTCGGAACTAAATTTAGGTGTAGACGAGCGCATTCCAATACCTTCCAACAACAAACGCCAACGTCACATATGCTTGATTTTCGGTGTGTACGCAGATTAATACGACAAACTATAACGTCAATTTGGTGGGAGATTAGACCGTCATTTTTGCTAGTCGGCGTACGTCAGTAGTGCCCTAAGAAAGCCGACATTATGACGTTACTATGTTCACTGAAATACCCTCCCCACGAACGTTCTGATAGTTTGTAACATGTTGAGACCAAGGGTCCACTTCCATTTACGCAACGTGCGCTCATCTCGTGTGCCTGCCACTCGCTATTTTGAGAACGTAGCGATACTTTGCAACACCCTGTACATTACATTTCATGACTCGCATATTCCATTTTACGATCCTTGACCTAGAAAACATTCGCGCGAAAAGTGAAAGTGCCCTAAGCTTGTAAATCTTTATGTATCTCTGTATATTGTGCCTTCAATTTTCCACAAAATACATAACGTTCCCACTGAAGCCTGAAGCGTATCATATTTTTTAGCTCACCTTGTCAACAGATAACCTTATCTGATTCTGATGTCGCTGCCGTCAACACGAGTTGCTAGTTAGCGCTCATCGGTTTGATCACACGGTACAATTTTATATTTTTTACATTTTCTCGATTTTTTTAATTTTCCGGCTCAAAAATGATGTCGATGCGGTATCAACTGACGTATACTGCTAGTGTCTTAACATCTTCAGTTTTAACGATTTTTGGTAAGTTTAATATGAACAAAAATTAACAAAAGGTGTGTTTTACCAAAGCATGTGACCTGGTATTTTATTTTCTGGCAGTACTTTATTACATGCTAACGGGCAAAGGAGAGCAAATCAGCATAGCATGGTAAGTCTGTTTTCTGATTTTTTACTCATTCATGCTCATTTCATATCACAGTTACACCAAACTTTCAAAATTCGAATATTCCCTTTCCTACACATATAAGGGTGGGCCAAAGAACTCATTTTTTTGATTCCGAAGTTTCAGTAGCGCCGAGAAGTTGCAAACCATATTAGTCAAAAGAAAGAAAGACAAAATAAGAAAAGAACTTCATTTTTGCGATTATTTTTTAATTAGATGTTTTCGTAATGTAATAGTTTGTAGCGTCTTCAAATAGAGCTTAAAAACATTGTGTTTTAATTTGGTTTAGATCGGTTGATATCTTCCGCCGGTCATGCATAAGCCCCAAAATTTCCCAAAATATTGAAAATTTCACATTTTTACGAGTATTTTTTGTATCTTTAATACACCGTCTTTTAACATAACAGTTACAGTATTTTTATTTTTGAAAACACAGATATACCCTTAAAGATAGTCTTCAGAGCGTAGAACAGTTTTTATGTACGAAAGGACCCCACAACACAAGTGAAGCTCTAGATATAGGTGTTAGGGTTTGCCGTGAAAGCTCTTTTTTTATTTCGAAGCTGTAATAGCGCGGAAAAGTTGCGAATTATATAGTTAAAAGAAATAAAGAAAACATATCTTAATCGGTTGAATTGTTTTGGTAGCGCGTAGGCCCTAAAGTTTGACAAAACATGAAAAAAGCTTGATTTTTGCGATAATTTTTTCAATTTTTGAATTAGATGTTTTCGTAATGTAATAGTTTGTCGCGTCTTCAAATAGAGCTTAAAAACATTGTGTTTTAATTTGGATTAATTCCATTGATATCTTCCAGTCGCGCATAAGCCCCCAAAAATAGAAAATTTCACATTTTTACGAGTTTTTTCCTTAATACACTTTTTCTTAACGTAACAGTTACAGTTTTATTATTTTTGAACACAAAGATGTACCCTAAACTTAGGCTTTAGAGGGTGGAAAAGGACCCACAACAGAATTGTCGCTTTAGATATACGAGAGCGGTACGATAAATAGTCAGCCTACAAAAGAAAAACAAAAATTGAGCGACTTTTTCAAGTTTTGAAACAAAAAGAAATCAAGGGAATACAGTGGATGGGGCAGCAGTTCGTAGAATAAGTCGGACAATTTGGCCGTGAGCACGGCGGAGGTGTGAGCCGATGTGTTATCTTGGTGGAAGAGCACCTTTTTCTTCGTCAAATGGGACCGTTTTTTCTGCGAATCAGCCCAATAATGGTACAGCCCTGTGACCGTTTTGCCCTTCTCCAGTTAGTCGATGTAGATCACACCTTGTGAATCCCAGAAAACGGTTGCCGATAGGACAGTCTTCGCCTTCTTCGGAGCACGTTCGCCGGGTGAAGTCCACTGGGCGTGGCTCTTCAAAAACCTTTGTGCGACAACGTTGAAAGTCCTTAAACCAATTGTGACGGTCGCCATCGAAGGAGAAGGATTACCGTACACAGCATCCAAGCGCTCATTGATTTCGCTGCTTCCACGAGCGGGCAAAACTACTAAACTGAAATTTTGACAGTAGCTGTCGACGAGAACGTACTACACGATAGTAAATTTCGCTTGCGATAGTGACAGCATCGGGCGGTGAGCCGAAGTACTTATGGGACTGCCCTCGCATGTGTTAGGTGTGTTTTCGTAATGTAATAGTTTGTAAGGTCTTCGAATAGAGTTTAAAGACAATGTGTTTTAATTTGGTTTAGATCAGTTGATATCTTCCGATCGCGCATAATCCCCAAAATTTGCCAAAATATGTCCGTTGTTGAATAGCGATAAAGTAGCGAAACCTGTCTATGTCCATATAACTTCTTCGTTTGCGATTTGTATTTCAACTAAATATTCTAGAGGATTGTTTGCATTCCATAGCTACTTTGAGGGAAACTCTACTGGGTCATATTCAATTGTTTGTAATCTGGGCGGATATGCCTTCCTCCATTTCAGAATACAGAATCTATGTTAGACGAAATGTATTGAGCTATATTCCTAATGTTAGCAAAACTTATTTACTTTAATTGTACGTAATCATTTTATCGTTTCATCTCGTTTCAATATTCTAGCACATTACAGACTGAGAATCTTGTTATAATAATTACATAGGTACATACTAAAAATACTGTTTGTATTGATGTTGTAACGCATCTCAATGATTTCCGGTCATGAGCGTGCCATTGAGCTTTTATAACGTAGAAATCTCGTTTCGTAGTAAATCAAACCAAAAGTCAGGCAAACGAAAATTTTAGTACTATATAGCTACAGTAGATCTAAAACTAATCGAGAAGCGAAAAACTCGGAGTCGACAAAACAAGTGTAAGCTCCTACATATACAGGGTGACTTCGAAGTTGAGTCATTTATTTTAACAGTGAGTAGATCTGATCAAAAGAAATGTTTTTTTCCTTTACCATTTTCCTGGTAAAATTAAAGTAACAAAGTTATAGCCCTTTGGAAGTTTGAGTACCGCCCTGTCTCAATAACAATATTATGTGGTCGTGTTTGGCGACAACGGATATAATCCGCCGTATCGGTTCATCGCATCGGAAACAAAAAAGCGAAAGAATTTGGAACGATGTTTTTACAAGTATTTCATTCATTTGTATACAGTCAGTGTCAGTGAATAGTGGTTTCTGTGGCGTGGCTCAAACGAAATAAAAAATGGCACATGTTTATGCGGATCGGTTTCCCAATCGAGTGCAACCAACCCCTCGTGCCTTTGTTAATGTAGTACAACGGGCTCGTGAATCAGGTGACTTAAGACCTCAGAGGGGACCTCACGATCAAATACAGGTCCGCACTGAAATACTTGTCGGGAGGATACTTTATAAAACAAGGTAAAATTTTTTTTTTATTTTTTTTTTATTTTTACACACATATTTTGGTTTATCTTCCTTCTACAATCATTATCTGAAAATTAATGACTCAACTTCAAAGTCACCCTGTATAAGTGGTAAACCAGAAGATACAAAACTCATGAATATAAAAAATATAGTGGGCGATAACTGTTTTCAAACTGCACCCCTAGTAAAAATTGTCAATCAGCAACTAAGATTTAATCTTTCCAGGAAACTGGAAATTTGCTCAAGTCCAACACATCCCAAAAAAAGAATCTAAGACCGACCCTTACAACCAGAGGCCTAAAGCTTTGCTTTCTGTTATAAGTAACTTGATGGAGAGGTGCATAAATCGATAGCTACAGGAGTATCTCATACGCCACGGCTTGAATAGCGACAGGCAGTATGGTTTCCAGCACCAGCGATCCACAGGGAGCCTCCTAGCTTACTACACGCAATTGTGGAGGAAACTCAACCAGTCTTATGATGAGGCTTATGTCGTTGCTCTTGATATCACGAGAGCGTTCGATCAGCTGTGGAATGATGCCATACCATGCAAAGCCCTATCTTATGGCGTCCCAGACGGGTTCTCCTCTTCATCCCACAACGTCAACGCGGGTGCTCCCAGGAATCGGTCTCTTACATATTAACGACCTTCTTTCCTGTACGATCAATCCGATCCATAGCTTGTCTGATGACATTACTCTACATGCAAGAGAAGAAGATTAGCAGCGAGTTCCTCTCTGACGAGGGACCTGGAAGTTATCACTGCTTGGGGACGCAACAATCTTGTACAGTTTAATGCTTCCAAACCACAATACTGTACCTTGACGAACAAAAAGAGTCCTAGCGCTCATCCGGTTTAGATGGATAGCCGAGCTCTGCCAAAGAGCCAATCATTTCGGCTGGTCGGAGTCCAGATCATCGAGGACTTAATGTGACATGAACACATCCCGTCAACAGCAGTAGGTGCTATTTGTTTAGGGCTAAGGAGTACTTTTCTCCGCATGACCTTCTCACTCTATACAAGGCCCAGATAAGAAATAGTCTCGAGTATTGCTCATACGTTTGTGGTATTGCCTCTCCAACTACATTATTTATGCTAAATGCTGGCCAGAGTAGGGCTGTCTGACTGATCGATGACTCTTCTCTAACAGACAGTTTCGGGACCCTTTCGCACCGACGGGCCGTCGGCGATGTAGTTTAATTTCATCAGAATGGCGGACCTAGGATCTTAACATTTAAGAAAATGCAATATATGTATAGGTATAAGGTCTTACATTAAAATACCTAGGCATAATGATGAAAGACTTTTCTTCTATCAAAACCCAATTTCGTGAAGAAACAAATAACGTGACACGAGGTGGTAGATTTCTAAGCTACTACTTACACTACGCAAGAATGAAGTTTCAGATAACACTGTGAATTAACAGCTACGCAATATTCATTATAAATGCATAACCTTAAATGTAAAAGAACGTATTTCCCCAGGTTTCTAAACAATGTATCGCCCTATATGTGGGCATCTATTGGAATCGGTCTGGCAGTTGCCCTCTCTGTAGTTGGAGCAGCCATGTAAGTTTGATTATTCACCCCTAATTTTTTTTATTTTATCAAACATGCAAGAGTAACTTTTTCCTCAACTATTTGTTTTTATACTTATTGCATTTATTTCGTTATTTTCTTAGCTTACTTTTATTGTGGAATTTTTTTCAAAACAGTAATTTATATTTTAGAGGAATACATACGACTGGGGTGACAATTGTAGGAGCAGGAGTAAAAGCCCCTAGGATAAAAACAAAAAACTTGATATCTATCATTTTCTGTGAAGCCGTTGCCATTTATGGACTGATTATGGCTATCGTCTTGTCTAGCAGCTTCAAAGTATGTCAAAAAATATTTTTTATGTTTCTCTGGTTGTGCTCCGGGCCATTTTCCATTTCCCGTATTAGTAAAGTCGTATAGTTTCGCATTTTTACTCTACCAGTGTCACGTTTTCGAGATACCGGCAAGAAAATCCGTTTGCATCTGTGCTTATATTTCGAATCTGACATCAATTCTCGCTGGGATCCGCAAAGGGGGCCCAAATACTTATTTATCATCCCAAAATAGTTATACGACCCCGATCATTCGTTATTTGATGATTCCAAGAGAACGCAAGCACAATCAGTGAAACACCCTGAAGCTCAAAATCATGAAAACCTAATCCATGACATTTTCAAGCAATTCAAAGACGAAGAATACAACAACAACCATGAGGTATACCAAAAGAACCAAATGGGCTCCCATATAATATTCGGCTCTGGCATTACAGTGGGTTTCGTTAACCTTATGTGTGGGATCTGTGTTGGTATTGTGGGATCAGGAGCTGCCTTGGCTGACGCTGCAAGTGCCCAGTTATTCGTCAAGATATTGATCGTAGAGATCTTTGGTAGCGCTATTGGACTCTTCGGCCTCATTGTTGGAGTTTATCTCGTAAGTTGGTTATTATGCAAACACTACCTCATCATACGAGGTCTGTAAATTAAGTAATGAGACTGGCACCGTAGTGTTTGATCTGGCAACCCTGGAGGCGGAACATGTGATCCGCCTTCAGCACAAGTTTGAACTCGCTCGAGTCAGTTGGTTGTCCGAATGTTTTTCTGTGGAACATTTTTTTCACATCGACGGAACTCATTTTGGGACAGTCGGTAAACATTCAAAATGCTGTAACCGACCAGCTGAAGGCTATTCCAGTATTATAGTTCCAGCATTGCTATGAGAAGTGGAAAAACTGTCTCTAGCGCTGTGTGGCACCAGAAGGAAGTTATTTTGAGGGTGACAATATAAAATTGCAATTATATTTGAATTAAAAAATCAGTCTCATTATTTAATGTACAGACTTCGTATTCAGGGCCGCCTTAAGCTATGTAGGGGCCCTTGGGGACGCAGGAGCTCGGGGCCTGCGACTGAAGGTGTCTCAGGCAGGGTTGCCAGATAGATCAAATAGAAATCTCCCAGATTTGCAACTATAAAAAATTCCACAAATTTTGATGATCGAATAAAATTGATTCAAGTTTTTGTTCACAAGTCTCAATGATTGTTGAACCGATAATTGAAAACAAAATGGCGATTGACAAGGTTATTCCTTCGAGCGTCTATAGTATTTGTGTATTGATAAATACGGAATCGACAAATATTTGGACCGATTTCCAAAAAGGGGACAATAGATTAGCGGACAGACAGACTGACCGAAATAAGTGACACGTTTTTTGTGCAGTACATGTTATATACACGAGGGTTGTTCCAAAAATAAGGTTCCTACATATTTTTCAGACACAAGGAATTTTTAGTTTGAAAAAACGGATTCAACATTGGAAACTTGAGCTACTTTTTAAACGTGAAATCCACTTTTGCACTCCCGCCTCAAGGAAGTCCATCGCCTGCCCGTTTAGAAACTTAATAACTGCTCCTTGCAACTTAGTAGGGAATCCTAGTTTTGAGACAACCCTCCTAACATCCAAAAACATAATATATAACATTTTCGATTTTTTTCGCGATTACAGTAAGGAAGTAAAAGAGGTTATGCATTTTGAGTAGATATCATCCATCTATTCTGAAGATTTATTACTGTTCCATGTATTTTGGTAAGGGGATATTTGATCTATCTATCTGCCTTAGGGATATTTTGCCACTGTTTTCAGAATCATCCGTTATTTAAGCATGATCATCATATACATCAGATTCATTATCTAAAAGGTGTTAACTATATCATTTTTTTCAGACATCCAAAGGAAGTATGGGATAAAATATATGAAAATTGTGTAAATATGGTAATTAAGAAATTTGTATTTAGATTATGATGTAGTGAACAGTATTACTTAAAGCTTAAAGTATCTAACACTGGAAAAAATTATGACATTTCAAAATAAAGTATTGTTGAATTTTTATAGATCTTACATAAACTGATGGATATCCAAACAAAAATACTCACAATACTTACAAATGCAAGTTCAATTTTTTTGAAATGTTCATTCATAGTACGATTACAAAATCATGTTCTGTTATTCTTCATGCTAAATATAGGTATCAACTTTGTTGAAAATGACAGTAATAAAATTGCTGAAATCTGTTTTTCTCTTTTATTAATCCCCTAAATTTTTCGAAAACTGAATAAAACTTGAGGAGCTCCCCTCGTATTTTGATGTGATACGGGTAGCAGAATCCAAGTCAACTGTCATTTATCTTTGGATCAATTGGAGGGTTGTAAATATCTATCCTTCTCTAATGACATTTAGCTGTCTCTCTTTGGGAGTGACTGTTGTGAAACTTCACGTGACATTTCCAGTCAGCTTTCAGCAAATTAATTCACCCTATTTTTTTTTTAAAAGAAAAGTACTTAATAGCTGCTTACCAAAAAATTGCAGATATGACGATGAAAACTGTATTAGGTAGTACATTTTTGGGACTTTCTTCTACCACCATTCTGATTCTAAGTAAGTATTGTCATGTGAATCAAACTGGTCAAATATCAAATTATGTATTTTTCTAGCGCTGTACCACGTATTTACTGGAAAAGGCGAAAGAATTAGCTTTGGCTGGTGAGTTTCTTTCAATTTCCTTTCAAAAAACAAAACATAACCTTTATTTTCATGTAGGTTTTTGGAAAACACATCGCCACACTTATGGGCATTACTTGGCATAGCTCTTTCTGTAGCTCTATCTGTTGTTGGGGCAGCTGCGTAAGTGGACTATTTTCAATATATTGCATGCTTACATAGATGACGATCTAACTGCAAAATTCAAATTCTCAAATTTTTGACAATACATTCAACATGTTCTGGAATTCAAAAGCTATACTAGGCTGTACCCTCGATACAAAGTAGCGGTTTTCAATAAACATATCACTTATTGGTCAGCATTTATGCAACAATCTCCAAGTACTGTATTATGTCACATTATCATAACTTCTCCAAACCTTGAAAGCAAAACTTACATTCTAATAAATATTTTCCTCAAGATCACCGTTAGAGCCTTATTAATCCAACTTTAATGAAATTAGGTTTAAATGCTTGTTTTTAAGGAAAAATATAAGTTGATTCTAGGATTTTGAAAAGTGGAGAACATAACTTTTGCAGTTGGACCCCTCAAATCATTACATGACTATCGTACAGTTACTTGGCATTATCAGCTAAAGAAACATCTTAAAATATTGAGACTTATGTAGCGAACATGAACAGGAAAATTTTACAGTTGAGCACTTACTTTGCAATTATACTGATTAGCTTTCCAGCCAATATATGAATCCATATTGGGGGAGCTTAGGACTTCTGTGGCTTATAATAAGTGAGAGTCTTTTGAGTCATATTGCCATCTGTTTTATCTATTTGGGGTGGTTCATGATTCAGCCTGTGGAGAACATATAAGCATACAGCTGATTGCAAGTCCACCAATATAGAATACAGAACATTTAACAAATTATCTATTGGTTTTAGAGGAATTCATACAACAGGTGTTAGCATTATTGGAGGAGGTGTTAAAGCTCCTAGGATCAAGACAAAGAACTTGATTTCAGTAATTTTCTGTGAAGCAGTTGCCATCTATGGACTCATTACTGCCATTGTTCTCTCAGGGTACTTGGAGGTGAGTATAATCTTTTAAACCACCCAATAGTTGTAATCTTGATTTCCTAAATATATTTTGTAAGCAGAATAAAATAAAAGTATCTTGTAGTGCAATCATTACTCATCAAATACAAGTCAAATCTGACTCTACTAGATTATTTCGACAAATAACCACAAGCAATGCAACTGCTGGCCTGGCCCTCAACCATTGTCTATATCAGGGCTGTCCAACTTAATGTGGCCCAAGGGCAAAAAATCTTTCTATACAACATTATTACAGAGTTAATGTAAGAATTGTGCATATTCGGTATTTGAGAGTAATTTATACATGTGATATATACATGACCCGTGAAGCGGGCCGCAAGAAAGGAGTTCCGTATGTTGGACAGCCCTGGTCTATATTATACTATAGTCACATTACAGTACTAAATATTGTGAAACAGAATCGTAATTGAAATTTATAATGCATCTGTGATATTTAACCATTAAAATAGCTTGGAGAATAAACTAATTTTAAACATACTCAAAAATAACTAGGATCCTCATACAACATACATAAATATGAAGACTTGAAAATATTCCAAAACAAAATTAGATAATACCTGCATCTGATGTGTTTGGTAGAATTATAAGTAAGCATAAGTTGTCTGATAAATACAGGGTGGCCCCTTAAGTTGAGCAGATTTTAAGAAATCCTAGAAAAACACTACAAAGCATAGGGAAGATAATTTATATTTTTAATAGACACATGGGAATTTTATTTTTTTAAAATAACATCATTGAGATGCGAGCCATCGCGACGTACGCACTCCTCGAATCTCGACTTCAAATTCGTGAAAACTCGCTGACACATCGCCCTTGGGATATCGGAGATTACCTCGGAAATGTTGTACTTGAGCTCTTGAGGTATCCCCTCTTCGCAATATCAGTTTTCAGCAATAAGAATTTTCTGGCTTCATCAGAAAAGAGAAAGATCCTGCGGTTTCAATTCCTGCACTAGTTGAAGTTTATATGGGTGCAATTTGAGGTCTTTTACCAAAATACGCCCTTCAGCTGTTCTTGATATGGCGAGTTCTGCTGATCTCTTTCGGGATGATAACTGTGGATCACTCACAGTTTCCTTTGTTCGTATTGACCTTGAACGCCTCGCAGGTTTCTGATTCATTGTCGAACCGGTAGACTCGAACTTTCTGACCCACGACCTGATCACACCTTTACTTGGACGTGTAAACTAAACTCATTTTTGTAATAAGCCTTAATACAGAACGCACGCTGCTCACCGGTGAAACGTCCCATCGCGACTAAATTTCCGAGCACCAAGCTACTTATCCCCACCCTGTATAAAGTTAAGTCCAAAGAATGTAATAGATTTTGATCGTTTAGGATTTCACCTGGGACTTGGTGGTGAAGAATCCAGTACTACATGCTAAGAACTGGTCAGCAGGTTACCTGATGTTTGGTGCTGGTTTAGGAGTGGGTTTGGTGAACCTTTTCTGTGGCATCTGTGTTGGAATAGTTGGGTCTGGAGCAGCATTGGCAGACGCTGCTAACTCGGCCCTTTTCGTCAAAATATTGATTGTGGAAATTTTTGGAAGTGCTATTGGACTCTTTGGGCTAATTGTCGGCATTTATATTGTAAGTATTGAATAGTTCAATTATCCATTTCATCCATTTTTGCGCTTTTTCATACATAACTCTTTGGATATTTAATTCTGACATAAGGCATGAGTGGAATTAGCTATAATAAGCTTGCATGATATCTCAATGAGAAATCCATTGTTTGTTGTTTGTCTTTGCTTAAAACTAGTCTATTTGGATGAAACTCAACGTCCAGTGCAGTTTCTTGGCTAAGGTCTTCAAGTTTGCTCCCACTGAAGATAGGCATAGTGTTATCAGCATATATCACTAGATATTGATGTCATTAATTAAAAAATATGAACAAAATGGGATTCAGAATGGAACCCTGGGTTACCACTAACCAAATGTAATGGTAATGATAACATACTATATACAGCCCAATCGTCATGAGGAGTGTAGATCAGTGTAAATGTCAACACTGATTTGGTGCTGCAAGTTCAGCTTGTATGAATTGGTAGAGCGAGAGAGGCCGAGTCTCGCCTATAGGGGGACATTATCAAGCCAGTATTGCCAATTACTTCACGTCAATATATGTACTGTATTATATGTCCCTTTATTTATCTTAATCAATCTTTTTCAGGTCTCCAAAGTGCAGATGGGAGACAAGGTGCACTAAAGTATTTGAGTATGAGTGTTGAATAGTTAGAAACATTCTAGAAAGTCCATGTGTTATATCATTGATCTGAAAGTTTAGATATATCTGTATAAGTATCTGATTATCACTTTGATTTTCTGTCTGCTGCAACCCCATTTCTTGATCTATAATGATTTTTATTTTTAAATTAAGAAAATTAATTGTCTCAAAGAGCCCAATTTCTTTTGCGCAGACAGAAAATAAAAAAATCTTTTAATGGATCTGTATATACTTTTTTTAATTTAAGAAATTGCATATATATGTTTAAATGCTAAACATTGGTTTTACAAATCTGCAGACAACTATAAAGCACATACCATGTTAGAATATATATGTATCAAAAGTGAATACATTTTCTACATAAAATAAATGCGTTTTATTAAAATTTTGTTGTAGTGATAGGTTGTTTTATAAACAGAAAACTTAAATATTGAGGCGACTGATAAAGAGCGTTAAAGCAGTCTTTATTGATTCTTTAACTGAAGGTTGGTAGTTCTAAGGCCCGTATCGTCAGTCGTCCCTACAATTGTAGGGCGCGTTTATGGCCTCCTTGATTGTCATACTCCTTTCTCTCCTTCAAAAATTTCTAGATTACACTTGTCCCGTGTCAGCGTCAGCGCTCTCCTATTGTGAAGAAATGTTTTGCTTTTAAATTGTAGGAAATTTCAGGCTGATAAAACATGATATAACTCAAAAGCAAGCACAATTTGATTCAAATAGATGCTTGTGACATAACCTCAAAATAGAGCACTGACATGGAAAAATAGAAAACTATGACAATCAAGGAGGCCATAAAGGCGCCCTACAATTGTAGGGACGACTGACGATACGGGCCTAAGAGAGATCTCATCAGGCAGACAGTAAGGACAAATTAACAGTTGTACCTGGGAGTTCTCAACATACAGATTTAGACTGAAAGGCAGAAACGACATGGACGCCAGCAGTATTTTTTGCCAGGGGGGGAATTTTTTTTAAAAAGGGGTGCAAACTCTAAAAATTCCCAATATTATGCATGAACAAAATGCCAAATATGCAAATTAAATCTCAACTAGATTATCAGGGGGCCACATGCGGCATTGTCATGGACCGAAGCTCGGATAAGGTAAATAGATATCAGTAAAACAACGCCGTCGTAAGTACCATCAGCCTTTTGTAAAACTAAATATAGAACATTTTTATTCTACGTTCAAATTTTGAAAAAAAAATTTACATAGACGCTCCCAAAATTAGATTAAGAAACAAACAGTTAACTTTGTGTCACTTCATTCAAAATATTTAATTCATTCACGTATGAAATATAAATACAGAATCAAGCTGTACTCGCCGAAAAGGAAAATCCAGGAGAGTATGTAGTATTGTTGATAAAACAATAACTATTCCTAACACAAATGAAAACGATTCCAAATATTTGAAGGAATTTCATACAAAAATCAGACTCAAAATGTATGGTAGTCTGTTTTACTAGGAAGAGCTCACAGCCTAGTAAAGTAAGGAAAAAGCGCAGTAGGTCAATGCGGGATAGTGACGGTTTTCTATATCGATCAGAAATAGAAATCCATCGAAATTGACGATAAATATATAGCGACTTCAAGCTTTAAGTAATCCATTTCGGCTCCTAGCATCCAAGGTTTGGCCCGTTTAAAATAGAGATATTCTCAAAAGATACTACTAGCTTTAACATCGACTAAAGATTATATCGAAGTAGCTAACTCATCACTATACTTTGTACAGTTTGACAGAAATGTCATGATTTGAGGTTAATGTTTAATGTCACAGATTATCCAGATGAGACAGATGCTGTCGGTCCCTTTGATCTTCATGTCCCCCCGACTACTTACCGCCGCTCCGTCTTTTTTCCATGAGCTCCAATGCTCATATGATGAAAACTTATGCAATAGAGGTAAATTAAAGCTGAGTTCATTTGTGATGATATATCTAATGTGATTTATAAACTTATTTTAGACTTCACATTATATTTAGCATGAGATTGTAGCTGTAAAATGATGATGTTAGTTTGTCATCTCTGCATTCATGGTCACCCTCACCGATGATATATAGTCGGTGGTCACCCTACTGTTGATGTGATAGGTAAGGCCTGTACGTGAGATGCAAAGGAAAACATCAGAAAATGACCAAATTACAAAAATGAACATTTACAAGTCAGCAAATTAAGAGTTCAGAGCTAATGAAAGAATTAAATATAAATAGCATGAGATTGTTGCATTCCAGAATTTAGTAGAGGTTACTTGTGTAGGATTTACCTAGTGATTAATATCAGAACCTTTTGGTGTGTTAGTAGTGATTTTTAAAAGCATGTATGTAGCAGGAAGTGGCTGATGAATATGTTTGGCTAACTTTGAATATTTTTAGCACAACTGTAAAGCAATATCAGAGACAGTTAAGAGACGAAACATGAGAATTTTATTTAATTATCATCAGAAACAGGGAAAGCTACTTATAACTGAAACAGGTATGTGCTATTTAGTAATAGCGATTCCTAAACAAGTATTTAACAAACATGTTTAACTAACAGTGTATTCAATATATTTGACAGATGTATCTTCACTTTTGGCTTGTGTTAGAAAAGGAGCCGGTCTGCTGCCCTAAAATATGAAAAGTTATTAAAATGTATCATTTGTCTAAAACAATCAATCAAGCAGCCAGCAAGAGAAGAGAAATTATGAAGAAAACAACTCACAATTTTGTGCCTATGGTAGCTTGAAAATAAAACAATGAAATATTTCACTTTAAAAAGCAGTTATTCACAGAACACATTTTATTTATTTTGAAGAATATGTGTTTGCAGTAAATGTATTGATGTACTGAACAGGATGAAATATAGTTGAAAAGCCTTCAACATTCAGCTTTGGGCAGTCAGAGTTTCAGTTGGTATGCAATACAAAATTTTTTGGTGCTCATTTAGATAAATCCTTAAACTAGTATATGGACTGTATCGACTGTTTGATTTTCTTTTTCAAGAATAGAGATATGTTTGTGCACTTGTAGCATCATATCTACAACACAAGAAATTTAAATGTCAATTATCCTATGCATAGACTAACTTTAACTGAAAAAACTACATATTACGCTTGTCTGAAATTTTTCAACTGCTTGCAACCAGTAAAATCGATTAACAATTAAGATTTTTAAATGGGAGGCACTTAATTAATATAGAACCATATAGTGTAAAACTCTGTATATCTTTTGTAACTGTTACAAGAAGTGTACTGTGATTATAATTAGAAATATGGGTTGTTTTTATTTGTTTATTAAATCCATCTCTAAAATAGCAGTCACAGTACGTGTCTCTCATAAATCAGAGTCTTACATGGTCATGAATGTGGAAACCGATGCATTAGAAGAGCTAGAGGACTTTGAAAAATGCATCAACCTATTCCAAGTGACCATATAATATGTCACGGATATTATAAAAATGAAATTGAATATTAAAGACAGGTTTTCAACACTTATTCATGCAAATATTAGGAGCATTAAGAATAATTTTGACAATGTTCTAGTAACATTATGATTATTTAATTGATTAATTTGAACTACAGTGATATTTTTGTTTTAAGGAAGCAGAATAACATACAAATTTGATAATCTACATTTTGGCCTAACTTGCATTATTTAATGTTTGGTCTTCATATATACTTGCTGTTGTAGAAGCCATCGAGACCTTTCAATACCTATAAGTCATATCTTGGCCTAAAAATATAAATTCTAGACTCACATATATCAAATACATCAGGACTCAACACTGCAATGTTTTACTGAATAACTTTGTATAATTATTGTACTATTTGATCACATGATGGAAGAGTTTCACCCTATATTTTCACGGATTAAGTAATAGTAACACAACAGACTTAATGAAGGATAAAGGAACATTAAAAATACCTATCAATAGTAATATGCTCGCTAATACATATTTATACAATTGTAATAGCTTCGGAGGAGGATTTCGATTACAGATAAGAATATGTTTTGCAAATTCAAAAACCGGTACACTCTCGCCCAGGCTGGCTTTCAATTAGCCAAAAAAACCGTCGTTCCATTCGTGCTATGGAATGACAGGTAAACATGTACAGGTAGTTACAAATTGTAGCATACACAGATATATAGATAGCAAGAACATGTAATAGCCAAACAGATAGACAGACTGCATTGAAGGAGGAAGTTTTATACATACCAGGCTTATCCAGATTATGTTCGCTAACTGAATTGCTGCCATCTGTATTGAAGGAAGGGTCTATATCTGTAAAAAAAAAGAATACCCATAATACATAACTAGAACAAATTAATTTACAAATTCATAGAGTATGAATATCAGAATAAAATCTGAAACAAATACGATATTATTCCTATTGCCAAAATGTACAAATTAATTCTTAGTGTGCGTTGGAACTGAATAAATACCCGTATTATCCAAATTAGGTTCGCTAATCATATTACTTTCAACTGTATTGCAGAAATATTCGATATCTGTAGAAAAGAAGGAATATATTTTACAGATATATATGTTATAAGTACGAAAAGCTTTCAGTACTGAAAAATTTAGAGACATTAAATATATTTACTATATCTAGATTTCTGATTTCTTACCCTGCTGAACATTTGTGTTGTACATGTTATCTTCAACGGTAGATGGAAATTTTGTCGGAATTGCATCGTGAAATAAACGCTTCCGGATTCCTTCAAAATTACCTATATATATACGATCAAAATGTTTTTCACAAAGCCTGTAGCCATTGTAAAGTTCTTCTCCAGTTTTGTACAAAAGATCAGTTCTATTGCACATAATTAACCAGTCTCTAGATCTGAAATTATAGAATAAAAATGTATATTTTATGTATAAATGATTTTATCTAATGCCTTGTAAGTTCGAATCTCATTCGTAGTGGTTTTAGATGCATAACAAAAATATCACAAGTATATATTTCCCATCTTAATTGTATGAACTAGACGTTAACTTGCCTTTGGTCGTCTTTGGGAAATCTAAACAATGCGATTCCCTGATTGCTGTATGTATGGCAGGCCCGATGGGCACAACGAACATTTCCCTTATTGCCTGGCATTTTTGAATTCGAATTGACTCAAACACGGCCAAATCTTCAAATTGCTTTGAATTTCCAGATATTTTAACAGACGGGGTTGTGCGCCCTCTGTTGGTCTGCGTTACTATCAGTAGTCCGTAATGGGCTGTTCCGTCTTAACCACAGAAACGTGGCTTTGCACATTTTGTTTCTTATTTGCTAGGAATATTGTATAAAATGAAAGAAATAATTACGTAGAAAGTTTTTATTATCCCAAATATAGTAAACCTCACAAACATATAAAATTGTATCTACACTGCGACGCAAAATTAACCGGACAAACAATATTTTGTTCAAATTAAATTTGAAATAACGTTTTATCCTTTGCATCAATTTCATTATTTTTTTCAAGTTGTAGGTAATTTCATTGCCATCATTATCGACTGCCGATCTTGCCAAAGAATTGAAAATGTTTGTTGTTATACTAACTAATGTAACTATGTGACCTGAATCCACCTGTATGCAACCAGTAGTGCAACCTATAGTTTGCCGCCAGGCGATCCCCTTGTGCCACGTACCGGCGGGTACAAGTATGTGCGACGGGGTTGAAGGTGAAGGGCCGAGGAAAGGGGTGTAGTATGGGGCAGTCTGGCCCGATCAATGATAGAGAGCGGATCGACGGTGCCGATAGACAGATGATACGTAGTGCAGCAGAGCCAAAAATATAGATATTCACGTGAAATAAGGATAAAGGTACGCGGGACATTAAAATTAAAAACTTGACAGGCGGACGGATGGCAGATGACAACCCTACCCTTGTACCCTTAGGGTACAGCCTAAAAGTGATTAAAATATTAAATCTAATTTAAAAATGAACGATTTATTAAATTAAATTAATTCTTCTTTTTTGTCTTCCTGCGAATCGATTAATGTTAATACGTACCATCTCCTTTGAATCCAGTGCAACAACTTTTTTGTGGTTTTGTCCGTCACAGTGGCGGATTTAAAAAATGGCAAACTGGACATTTTCCGCCTGGGCCCCCCAAGGAAGGTTGGTCACAGCCCCTAACCCCCCCCCCCCCCTCCCCAGCAGAAATCAGCTCTAGTGTGTATGTTGTTCAGCGCATCTGAATGTAAAATTGATAACAAGAACAGAGTGTTGTTATATGCTTTTAATGACCATCTGCGTAATGTTTATGAAACAGCGCGTTAGCATTCAGTTTGAATAAGAAAATGTCCCTTTCATTTCTTAAGACATTTTTTGAAAAATGACCGAATTACCTATAATGTTCAGTAAATAAATATCTTCATGGTATGAATCAGCCTCTTTCAGTCTAATAAAGACTAATGCGTATACTTAATAAACTTTCACAATGCTGCTGTGCATTTTTTTATTTGATGACATATCTATTTTCTTCGTGATAATATTGTGGATGAAATATTTTGAATGTATTATCAATTGCATAGAAGATGAAATTTCAAGAGTAGGAGCTTCTGGCGAAGATATAATGAATGCAAAATCCCTCCTTTCCTCCATGAACTGGACCTTTTTCCTCAATTTGTTATGGTGGTATTCAGTATTGAGCGTAATGAATACTGTGCAAGTTCAAATGCAAAAGAAAGAAATAGATTTGATGATGGTTCAAAGGTGCATTTCAGCAGCATTGAAAAAATTTAAAGATTTGAGGAGCGAAATTATACGATCATTTTGTTCTGAAGGCTAAGAATAAATGGGAAGAGATGGAATGGGAAAATCCTGGTTTTCCCATTGTCAGAAAAAAGCTGCTGACTCGCCACTGGAAACACACGAAAAACATCGAATAAATTACTACGAAGTTTTGGATTCAATGAGTAACGAATTGCAAGAACTAATTTGATAGAAAAATATTCAGAATTTTTCATTACAGATCTAAGATATGAATTAGCCAGTTTTACGAGCATGTATTTTTCGGAAAATTGTAATTTTACTAATGACAGCCCGCTAGAATTATTTGAAGTTCATGATTGCAAACAATTTGGTAGACAGTTTTCCAAAGAGCTGCAGATTGTTTCGATTGTTTTTGACTTTGCCTATCGGTTCAGCTAGTGCTGAACGTGTCATGAGCTCTTTGAAAATTATTAAAGAATACCGTCTAGCTTTTTTGGCTAAAGACACGCTCAGCAACTTCTCTATCCTCTATATCGAAAGATCAGTAGCTAATACACTCAATTTGGATTCTGCGATGGAAATTTTTGCTGAACGAAAAGCAAAACGCGGATTCAAATTAGAATAATTCTGTTACTTTGTATTGAATAAAAAATGTTTGATCTCACAGTCTCTACTTGATTCAGGTTATATAGACATATAGTAAAAAACAGAGGTAACAGTGCGCAGCAGCTACTATTGTGCATATAACTGTAAGCCCCTGTTAATATGTGATCCTTATTGCCAGCAAAATCTGTAGTTCGAACTTTATCTGAACAATTTAGATGGATTTTATGTTATCGAAGATTTGGTTGAAGTTTAGTTGGAGTAGCTGTTTTATTGGCACGTTGAAACAGCATCAGATTAACTTTTTGCATCAAATTACTACCGTCATCTGGGGTAAATTCGGACGTTTTTTGCATATTTTTTTGAATAACTTTTTGCGATCACATGGAAAAACTAAAAAAAAAAAATTATTTACGTACCTCAAATGATTCCAAACTGTGGGGTAAAGCCGGACACCCAATTATTTTAATGCAAAAATGCATTTTGTCGCTTTGTGGGGTACACTCGGACATAAAAAAATGAAAATTATATAAATTTAATTCTGGTAAAGTTACAACACACACAAACTTTCATCTAAGGAATAAACCTAAAAAGCAAACACATAATAAATCTAAAAGTTAACAGACTCCACCTAACTAAATATATCATTTTCCTATTTTAGTAAAAGAAACCTAAGAATAATAAACTTACCGAATAAAAAATTTCAATAAAACTTTTTTTGATAGATTTCTGCATTATTCAATTTTAATATTTTTAAGCGTTTTCAAGCTGGAAAATTGAAAACGCTCACGTCTTAAATCTTTTACTAGTCTTAAAAACTTAAAAATTTGAGGAGACTCTACCAAGCTTTGGTCTTTAATATTAGGGTATACAAAATAATCACCAATTTTTTCGGAATCTTGCTTTCTTAAGAAATTTACATAATAAAGTTTTTCATTGGCGTCTAGAACGTCAGAGACACAGCCAACAAAGTATTTGAATGTATACTAAGTGACATATAAATCCGAACACCCAGTTTAAATAGTTTTATTTTAATAAAAGTTGGTGAATGTATTTATCTTACTGTAAATAACAAGTGAAAAAATTTTCAGCCTTATCAGTTGGACATTCCGGTTTTTATACTGCTTTTTTTTAATTCACTAACGCTCTAAAAATGAATATTTCAGCCGCAGTAAAGAATTAACGTTGGCGGATTTTGGTTCTTGACATCCTTTACGATCGGTTACGATGCCTAGAGTACGGAGACCTGTACGATTTCGTCAACTTAGTGAGTTTGATAGGGGCCGTATAGTGGGACTTCCGGAAGCTGGGCTTTCTTTTCGGGCAATTGCAGTTAGAGTGCAAAGAAGTGTAGACACTGTGGTTAGGTGTTGTCAGGCATGGCTTCGAGAAGGCCGTACGCAAAGAGCAAGGGGCACTGGACGCCGCCGCAGAACAACAGACCGTGAAGATCGCCGCCTAAGATTATTGGCTTTAAGGGACCGTTTCTCCACTACCAGGTCCATTGCAAATGAATGGTTTGCAGAACACGGAAGACCTATTGGCATGCGAAGTGTTTACCGACGAATGAGAAGTTTTGGCTTGTTTTCATACAGGCCACACTGGGTCCTCCCTTTAACTCGAGAACACCGACGTAATCGCCTTGAGTGGTGCAGACAACGGTCACTCTGGGATCAGGAATGGAACAGTATTGTCTTTAGTGACGAGTCTCGATTTTGTTTAGACATGCACGATGGTCGTGTCAGGGTTAGAAGGCGACGTGGTGAAAGGAGGAATCCACAGTTTTTTGTTGAAAGACATGTTCATCACACTGTTGGAGTTATGGTTTGGGGTGCTATAGCTTATGGTTCCAGGTTACCTTTAATCTTCATCAGAGGTAACATGAACGCGCAGCGTTATATCCACGAAGTTCTAGAACCCCATCTTTTACCCTATCTTGACACCCTGGCAGATCCAACTTTCCAACAAGATAATGCCCGACCACATGTTGCAAGAGTCACAATAGACTTCTTTCAACATAATGATGTCACGTTGTTACCATGGCCACCAAGATTTCCCGACTTATCCCCAATTGAGCACGTGTGGGATATGATGGGTAGGAGATTGCTCAATTTGCAACGTCCTCCTCAGACTCTAGAAGCACTTCGAGAGGAGTTGGTGGTTGCCTGGAATGAGATACCACAGGAGGACATTGACCACCTGATCAGAAGCATGCCTAGGCGCGTTGGAGAATGCGTAGCACATCAGGGTGCATCCACACATTATTAAAGGTCAAAGGGCTTTAAAGCAGTGCAATCATTTTGAAAGTTTTATCATTTACTTATTATGCTTCATTAAATACTTATACAAAATTTTATTAAAATAAAACCATTTAAACTGGGTGTTCGGATTTCTATGTCACTTAGTATATTATTTGGGCACGCACACTTCACTAACAAAAAATTGCCTGGTTGGATACAATCGAAATTGATCTGATTATGTAGATCAGCTTCGAGTTCATCACTGAAATTTCCCTCTTCTCTTAATTCCTCATTGCTGGGATTTTTAGCTGCTTCTTGTTCACAGCCACCATTCGATAGCTCCATATATTCAGGTTCAGAGTTGTCACTGCTTTCTTCAAAATATTTCGCACTTATAGCCTTTCCCGGTGCCACTTTTATTTTTTTTCCTCTTTTAGGACGTTCAACCTGAGTTGTAGCTAATCTGCTCTCCTTGAGAAATTCTTTTAAGGTTTGCACCCAATGCACTTTGCCCTCACTTCTATCCATTATTGGATCTAAATCAGGTAAAATTCGGTTTAAAACTACAATTAGCGTTCAGTGGGACAATGCCGTAAGCTTTAAAATCAGATTTAATGTTATTTTCGGAATTTTCAATACTGTAAATAGCTTTCTTCACAAGTTTTGGAAATTCTGATTTCACGATGCAGCCCCTATTCCGCATCTTCCTTTCCAATAAAATCTTACGCCATTGTTTTTTCATCGGTGCAAAATATGCCACATCTAGCGGCTGTAAGAGTTGAGTTACGTTGGGTGGAAGAATTACAAATTGAATGTTATAATTTTGACAGCATTCCAAAACGTGCTTAGAAGTGTGGCTGGCTAAGTTGTCTCCCATTAATACTTTTTTGCCTGGAAGGTTTCAAAAGTAAGGAAGTAAAATCCTGTCAAACCAATGTTTAAAAGCAGGACCATCAAACCAGCCTGACTTAGTTCGATTGTACATGGTACCATCAGGACCTCCCTCTATCCAGGTTGGATATAGGTAAACAGATTTATAGATTACATATGGGGGTAACAATTGTCCTGTCGCTGTTATTGCCATCATAACTGAGGTGCTAGATTTACTTGAATCAATTATATTCTCAACCATCTTCGAACCACGGCGGCATAAAACTTTTTGTTTTCCAGGGTCATCTGTCAAATTTGTTTCATCATAATTCACGATATTCATAGGTTCAACTCTCTCTAATGTCTGTTCTATCTCTTTATATTTTGTGCAAATCTCTGTCAAAATTTTGTTTCTACTGACATAGTTATAAAACCACTCAATCCCAGGCATATTGTCCTTGAACTGGGTTATTTGTTTACCTTTTCTATTTACCAAGCATCTTATATCCCTACGAGTCATAGGAAATCCCCACTCTGCAAACTGAGTGATAGCTTCTGCGAACATTTTTTCCTCTTGTTCTGAAAGTTTGGTAGGTGCACCATGTTTTCCATCTTTTTGTCTCCTGAGTTTGTCGAATAGAGTGGATTTTGGTATTCCATAGTACTCTGAGGCACCTCTAAGGGATTTTCTTTTGTTCCGAATGTCCTCCAGAGCTTGCTCCATTTTTTGTGGTTCATAGTTCATAAATTTTACGCCTATTTTTTTTATAATGCCTAGGCATTGCTGTCCGCCTTTACCCCACCTATATATATATATTTTTACAAATTAATTGATTGAAAAACAACAACAAAGAAAATGGAAAAACTTTATGGTGCATATGGCTAGGGATAAACCCCCGCTTCTTTAAGATAGGTAGTTCCGATTGTAATATTTGACATAAATTATGTACAGAGAGGTTTTTTACGGTATTCTAATATTTGCAAAAACAAACAACTTTTTATAACGGGTGATTCATTAAGATGTACTTTTTTGGTGTGGCTGTAATTGCTTATGGCACATGCGTCATGACAACTAATTTGACATTTCCTGTTTCAGTATTGTTCGACATTTCATCATGGAAAGACTTAGTCCAGCACAGCGTCTACAAATAATTCAGCTGTAATACGAAAATCAACGTTCTGCGAGAAGTGTGTTTCGTGCACTTAGAGCAACTTATGGTGTACATAATCGGCCCACCGAACGCACAATTCGCCGTACGGTCGAAAAATTTTTCATTATTGGATAATACCCGACCAAATAGACCACATCCAGCACGCAGTGAAGAAAATATAGCCGCGGTAGCTGAGAGTATACGTGAGGACCGTGAAGAATCGATTCGGCGCCGTTCTCAACAGCTTGGCTTGTCGTATTCAACAACTTGGCGTATTTTACGTAAGAATCTTGATTTGAAACCATACAAAATTCAACTCGTTCAAGAATTAAAGCCGGCCGACCTTCCAAAGCGTCTTCGTTTCAGTCTTTGAGCTCTTGCACGGCTTGAAGAAGATCCGATGTTTTCGAGCAAAATTTTGTTTAGCGATGAGGCCCATTTTTGGCTTAACGACTACGTTAATAAACAAAACTGTCGTATTTGCACTATCCATGAGCTTGTTTCGGTTACTTGTGCAGGTCTTTCTAATTGTTTTATTCTCAGTTGCCGTCATTAATTTGCAAATAGCGATAAATTCGAAGAATATCACTTTCGCAAATAGTGCCCAGTATATATCCTGTAGTAATGCACGTTATTTAACGTATTTTAGTGTTATTCACCAAGTTTGTATTCAATGAAATATTAATCACGGCAAACATGACAACAACTATCGATGATATTTGTTTTTTTCTTAATTATGATTTTATGCAAATTCTATAAATAGCGTGCACTCCTTTGACTCGACGCCCTTTACTTAGTAGCATCCGTGATAACTTTTATACTCTATTATGCACAAGAAGTTTGCTGGTGAATCATCAAGTTTAATTTACTTCAAAAAATACAACCTGTCCCGTGCCCGTGCGCACTATTAAATGCAAAAACCAGGCTGATGTATGATTACACTAACATGACATTACGCATTAAATATTGATATTAATTTTTGAGTTATCATGCAACTTTCAAAGTTGCCATTGCCGTATTTTATTATTTGTCAATAATCGCAGTAATTTATGTTATTCGCAAAACAGTTATAGTGCGCACTATTTGCCGTATGACCCGGATCATACCACTGGGCCCCCGAGTGCATATTCCGACCGAGCCCTTTTCCTTAAATCCGCCACTGGTCCGTCAAAAAGTATCTTTTATCAAATTTGCTCACAGCTTAAGCGCGCGCGAAGAAGTTTTTCCTACATCAAGCTGACCGCATAGGCAACCAGTCTTGCGCTATCATCTATGAGCTTACAGTTAAATCAAAGTTGATGGAAGCAGTGCTGCAAGTGTTTAGTAGAAAATACCAGTCAACATCCATTTAATATGTGTGCATTACAGATTTATCTAAGAGATTTGGAACTTTAAAAATTGGTGGTCGAACTAAATTCGCCTGGGGGGTCATGACCATCATCCTCTCTGGCATAGATTCAATCAAACCAACTATTGTGTCTTGGGGTATTTGCTCCCACTCGTTTACCAGCTCCTTTTCCAAAGCAGCCACAGTTTGAAATGCTCCATAGTTCTGCCTAAGCATCCTTCCTAATATATCCTACACGTGCTCAATGGGGTTGGGATCCGGACTCCTTGGCGGTCAGTCTAGTACTTGAATTCCAACATCTTTGAGGTATTGCCTAGTCATTCTGGCTATATGCAGCCGAGCATTATCTTGCATTAGGAGAAAATTTTCTCCTATAAAGGGCATATGAGGAACCACATGTTCTTCCAAATACCCTCTAATGTACCTGTCGGCAGTAAGGGGTCCTCCTCGTAACTAAACAAGATATGTGCGGGATTCCAAAGAAATTCCGCCCCATACCATCACTCCTCCACCACCAAATTGCACTCTAGGGGCGAAACCACTTTGAGCATAGCGTTCTCTTTGGCGACCATAAGTGTGAATATCTCGTAAAACGAAACTCGTCTGTAAAAAGAACGTTTTTCCAGTCGTCCATATCCCAGTCTGCGTGAGTTCGAGAAAATACCAAGCGCTGCCTCCGATGACCTACATCCAATAGAGGACCTGTAGCAGGTACACAAGATGATAGGTTTCCTCCTCCCAACCTTCGGCGTACGGTATCAGGTGAAACTATAGTACTATGAACATCATCCAATCTTCGAGTCAAAACTGTAGCAGGAACTGTCCTTTCTCGAAGAGTTTGAAGTCTCAGAAACCGATCTTCAACTGCGTTCGTTGTTTTCCGTCTTCCCTGCCCGGGTCTTCTTGAGTAAGAACCAGTTTCTCTAAATCCTTGTACCGTACTGCGTGGAACAGCAAGCCTTTCTGCGATATACTGAATAGGACGACCATCATCTTGTAAAGCTACAGCTACTTGTTCCGGTGTCATTGTTGTTGAGTATTGCTTGACAAGAATCTTTTTGACATGGCATAAAAATGCTAACAGACACAGCGTACTTGGAACAATTTCTTACCCGGCAAAGCCTGCTTGAAACAATTTCTTGTTTATGGCAATGATTCACATGATTTTCTTCAAAACAGCATATATTCTTCAATAATTGAAATATTGACATGAATCAAAAGAAGAACTGTTGAGAAAAGTTGAGGCTTGAAATGATCAGACAAAGACACATTATTCAGTAATCCAATGTTTACACAGGGTGTTCAGAAATTTAGGGCAAAATGCACCTTTTAGTTACACCCTGTATAACAACAAACATTTTCAATTTTTTTGCAAGATCGACAGTCGATAATGATGACAGTGAAATTACCTACAACTTGACGAACAAATTAACGAAATTGATGCAAAGGTTAAAAAGTTATTTAAAATTTAATTTGAACAAAATTGTGTTTGTCCGGTTAATTTTGCGTGGCAGTAAATTTACATTGTAGATCAAAGTAAACTCATGTAAAGTAAAAATTCTTGAATAGAATAACTACAGGACACGTGATGGGGATCTCTACATTTTGTTTGTTCTCAAAACCAGCCACTCAGAACTTTTTTCCAGAAAAAATAAAAAATTGGTGGATTATTTTCTAGGAGGATTCTCCCGCTTATCCGGTTCTGGGGATAACATTCAGCATACATAATCTAAATTTAAAAGCATTAAAAAAATAAACAGCTCAATGTCTATAGACCTGTATGAAATAAAAGGACGAGTTGTCCATCATATTACATCATGGGAATGATATATAAACCAATTAATAAAATTTTATTACAAAGCAAATAATTTTAATTCAGAAACTACAGGTGAATGTATTATAGCCCACAAGAAAAAGTCAGCAACTTATAATCAAAAGATGAAGCTCTCGTAAGAATTGCCAGAAATTAGTGTAAAACATTATAATAGATGTATTAAAACGTTTTAATTAAACACTTTCTATGAAATGCTGTATTCTGAAAAATAAAACAATAAAACACAACTAGTATTTTATTCAATATATTTGACAGATGTTTCTTTTCTGTTGGCTAGTGAATCAAAGTTATTTAGAAAAAGGGCAACACTCTTGCAATCAAATATGAAAAGATATTAAAATGTATCATTTATCTGAAAAAATTCATTAAGCGAGCATATCAAGAGCATTTAGTGAAAGATTAGCTATAAAATTTAATAAAGTTCATCAATGCCTGATTTATTATGTGGATGCATTTTGGTTAGGGAGGCCTGTTTTCGGCAGTCAACATGCTGATTAGCTGTTGCCTTATTGCCTTGTTTGTCTGAAGAATCGTCCTTGCAATTAGACCTATTGATGTGTAAATATTTTTGACAAAATAGTTTGTTCCAAAATTGGACTGCCGTTGGACTCACATGATTCCGACTTTACGACATATATACTACCGAAAGAATTTTCTAGTGCATCTTGGTTCACTTGTTTTAAGATGTTTAAATCGAGGAAATGATAGATTGAAAGAAATTTACATTTGCTGGTAATATTTTCGTCTTTTCTCGAACGAACCTTGATATGTTTAAAATAAAAAACGAAAATTCTTTTTAACTACTTAAAATTTGGAAAACTCCCCCATTAAATACATTTTTCTTTTAATTTCAGTTTTTATGCTGGTCGAATTTAAAATGTCCAGTATACATCGTATAGCCAGATTTGTCTAGTAATGTGTTGGGCCACCCTGATTCCCATATACATTCGTCCAGTCGTCGTGGCATGCTTCTTGAGGTATCTCATCCATTGCCAGCTGCACTTGATCCAAAGGTCTGCTATATGTTGCTGGAGGATGAGGTAAAGAGGTCACTCTTTTCCCCATTATATTCTATTCATGGCTAACCGTCTGGTGATCTAGGAGGCCAAGGAAGGTTGTTGATAATAATAATATTCTTTATTGCCACAAAATTTTACAAGAAAAACATAAGCAACGTCAAAGAAAAACAAAAATGTAGTACAGTTCCATAACGGGAAATATAAACAACACCCAGGCACCATAAGCAGGTAACTTAAAATATGTCACAAATGCACAGATAAAAAATAAATAAAAAATACAAATGTAAAATGGTATGTTGCAAATAAATTATTAAATGATTTGTTGAAATTGTAAAATGGTAGACAGTATGGACTGAGGCCTGAAAATAAAAAGTTCTGAATTCAGTTTTTGCAGATTTCAGAGATATTTATGTAAGCACGCCAATTCTTTAATGTCACATACCTCAAGCACTATTGAACCAATTTTCCTAGGTGTAACAAAAAAAACTAGTTGGAATATCAAAAAATCAGGTCTGGACTCCTTTTTTAACTTTTTCGTACTTCATCAAAATTAACATATTTTAAGCTAAAAAGGTTTGATTGTTGACAAAAAAGCCATTATGATTTTTATTTGAATATGTTATCTCTAACAGTTGTTTCGGGAATTCAAATGTTCAGAAGGTTTGATTGTTGAGAAAAAAGCCATTATGATTTTTATTTGAATATGTTATCTCTAACAGTTGTTTCGGGAATTCAAATGTTCATGGCCAGATATAGTGTTTTTCCATTTTATTTGTTTGTATTTCATTAAGAGGAATACCCTGTAGCTTATACTCTGGCTCAAGTATTATTTCACAAAAAAAGAAGAATAAATCATATAAATAAAAAGCAAAACTAAGATTATGCATTCTATTTGCTTTTTTATGATTAATTCTACCAACTATTCTTGTACAATCCGAGTTCTGCTTTCAAGGGAGACAGCATCTAGTAGAACTAAATAATTTGAATAGATAATAAACTTTCACTAAAAACATTTCAATATTTAACTTACAAAGTGTTGATTTCGGTAGAATACTAAAAATGCTCTCCCTAAACATTGAACATTGGCTTGTTCCAGACACCAGACTGTCATCATACCTAAAGCAGAAAGCTTTTTATATTATTGATAACTTTCTAGTCAATGACTTTATTAACATATAATGATAATGTTTTAACTTTTTTTATATATTTTAGTGTTTACGTGTCATTTGAACTTCTCTGTATTATTTTTATCTTTTGACTGTGTCTGGTTTGTTTTATTCAGTTTTAATGCTGAGTATTTACTTTTTTGACGTATGTGAGTGTTTTTGCATGTCCAACATCAATAAAGATTATCATTATTATTATTATTAAAATTTAAATAAGGAAAAACGAATCTACCGACTAGTTTTTCGTTACTTCTAGGTAACTTTGTTATTGTGTAAAATTTTATCAAGATCATTCCAATAGTGTCTGAGATATGTGATATTAGCGATTTAGCATGTATGTATCCATCGAAGAAAGAGACTAAGGGCCGTATCTTCAGTTGATGCTACAATTGTAGGACGCCTTTATGGCCTCCATGATTTTCATACTTTTCTAATTTTTTGTGCCAGCGCTCTATTTTGAGGTTATGTCACAAACATCTATTTGCATCAAATTGTTCATGCTTTTGATTTATATCATGTTTTATCAGTCTGAAATTTCCTACAATTCAAGAAGAAAACATAACTTCACAATAGAAGAGCGCTGACGCTGACATGGAACAGGTGCAATCTAGAAGTTTTTGGATGAGAGAAAAGACTATGACAATCAAAGAGGCCATAAAGGCGTCCTACAATATTGTAGGAACGACTGACGATACGGCCTTTAACCAGAGTACTACCAGAGGCGACACTCTGTCAAAAATCAGCTTCTATCAACGCCAACTTGAGTTCTATGCGTTTGGTGGGATTCCTATTGCTGTGATATTTAGGGGATATCCGTGAAATGTTTTGATACGTGTCCACAAAACAGCTTAATCAATATAAATCACTTATCTCGCCTAAATGCATTTAGGAAAATAATAAACACAAATTTCTTCATTCTAGGAAAAAATCCTCCGGACGCTAATGGACAGAAGCGGGAAATGTAAGCAGTTCGGGGACACGAAGATCAAAGGGACCGACAGCAGGTGTCGCATCTGTATAATCTGTGCCTTAAACCGGTCCCACGCATTCCATTCGCCACATCGTGTGGGAGAGCGCTGACGGATTGCATGTGTCCAACGTTCGCCATATGGCACGTTCGGGCTCTTGTCGGTAAATTTGATCCGCGTCAAAGGACGTTACAACGTTGGAAGCATGGTTCGTTACGCTCCCACACGAGATGTCATGTGTTTGATGGTTTTAGGTTAGAACCAGTAGCGGAGACAATTATTATTTATTTGTTTGTTGTGATTGTGGTGAAGTAGTGGTATGTGTGTATTTTGATTTGAATACATACCTATTAATAATAACGTATGTTCTGTAACTAACTTTTGAGGAGAAAGGATTAAATTAGTATATATACAAGGCATAGGCTGCCATAACAACACTTTTTTCATATGGTTAATATTTTGTACGTTTCGCAGCTGAGATATGGATGGCCTTAGGATATGTATTTTGGTAAATTATAAATTATCAAGTGCTTACAGTTGTTTTATTATAATGTCCTGTTGCAGTGCAAGACTAGTTGAGAAATATATTGACTTCCAATTCATAACGAAAAAGATTAAATAAATGATAACTCTGAAAGCACTATCAGGATTTTGATGAAATTTTGACCCTAGGTTACTACTATGAAAATGACGAAAAAGCTCTGCAGTTTTTAAAAATCGGTAGAGCGGCGATGGAGCTCTATCGTCGAAAAACTAACAAAAAACTGTCAAACTTCGTTTTTCGATATTTTTGAGGCTTCTGACAGACTTAAGTTTTGGACGTTCAGGAGAGACCTGAAATTATTTTTCGGCGCTCGAAAAAATTGTTTCCTCGTTTATTTTGTATAATTTTTCCTTCAGTTGTAAAGGTTCAAGCGCGACACTGATACTGATAATAGACGTTGGCACCACCATGCGTCGAACGTCCGAGACTAATAAGTTCATTCCATCGTGTAGGAGACACACTTGCCAATTGTGGGATGTCGAACGTTGTAAACAACGTTGGAAGCATCGTGTGGGCCCGCATTAGAGAGCAGCCCCAGTCGGGTTTTATCGAATTTTAATGACTAGGAGAGATATTTAAAAAACATACTTTCTGAGGTCTTAAGAAACGATTGAGGTATGGATGATCTCGACATTTGCGGTTTTTCTATTTTATTACACTTTGACATTGTCGTAAGACGTGTACAGAGGACCGACAAAAGGTGTAGAGAGGTACAACAATCTATGCCCTTTTTTGGCATTAGTGTAAATGTGCAGAAAGAAAATAAGTAATTTTATTATGCTTACTTATAAGCATTCCCACGGGTAGCGGCTGTCTTTTTATTCGAGAGTTTCTTTCCCTGAGTCGCGGCGCTAGTGCATTTGAGTTTATGTGGGGGCGGTGGAGCTCGAAGTTTCAAACTGATTTTCATTTTATATATATATATATATATATATATATAGTTGAAAAATTAAAGCAAAGAAGACTCTTTGTACTTTTTTAATCTCTCTAGCTTTCAATGGTCTTTGCCATCATGATCAGGAGCTGCAATCACATTGAGAAAAGTAGCAACAACTGTGCAAAATGAATTTAAATTAACTGTATGTGAGGAGGTTGCTAAATAGTTATTTATGTTGAGGTTGAGGGAAACACCCAGTAACCTGGTGAAAGCTGGATCATGGTAAAATCGTCAAAATTATACAAACTACACACAGCTGTATGACAATAACAAATTAAAAACGGATTTAAAATATTTAAAACGAAAGTTAAACTACATTACACCTGATGATTTCACAAAAATATAATATATATATACAGGGTGACTTCGAAGTTGAGTCATTTATTTTAACAGTGAGTAGATCTGATCAAAAGAAATGTTTTTTTCCTTTACCATTTTTCTGGTAAAATTAAAGTAACAAAGTTATAGCCCTTTGGAAGTTTGAGTACCGCCCTGTCTCAATAATAATATTATGTGCTCGTGTTTGGCGACAACGGATATAATCCGCCTTATCGGTTCATCGCATCGGAAACAAAAAAGCGAAAGAATTTGGAACGATGTTTTTACAATTATTTCATTCAGTTGTATACAGTCAGTGTCAGTCGGTAGTGAATAGTGGTGTCTGTTGCGTGGCTCAAACGAAATAAAAAATGGCACATGTTTATGCGGATCGGTTTCCCAATCGAGTGCAACCAACCCCTCGTGCCTTTGTTAATCTAGTACAACGGGTTCGTGAATCAGGTGACTTAAGACCTCACATATGGACGGCATGCCGGTGCTCCAAGACCTCGCGATCAAATACAGGTCCGCACTGAAATATTTGTCGGGAGGATACTTTATAAAACAAGGTAAAAATTTCTTTTAATTTTTTTTTTATTTTTACACACATATTTTGGTTTATCTTCCTTCTACAATCATTATCTGAAAATTAATGACTCAACTTCAAAGTCACCCTGTATATATATATATATATATATATCTATCAATAATATGGATTTATTTCATTGAAAACATTTGTACTTACCACATAATAAAGCCATTAGTGTATTTATGTGACATTTTACTTTTAAAATGACGTCAACCACGTAACTCAAAACACTGACTGCTTTCATCAAAATGTGAACACAACTATTAAAAAATTAAAAATTACGAATTTCGTAATCGTCCGTACCACAATTGTTTTTTCATACATCACAAAGTATGTATCAATGACTTTTTTGATTTTTCTCGCACTTATAAAAATTCGATAAAACCTTCCTTAGAGCAATCTGTTACTTAGTGAAGATTGATAGCTGGAACTTACCTCAGGATTATTTCCCAAACTTGGCCAATCGCATGCGTCTGCAAAATCACTATCCCGGAACAGAGTAGCACCATATACATAAAACAATATATAAACACAAAAAATGTAGACCAGGAAACAATAAAATGATGTATACGGGTGTGCTAAAGCAATGCACACCGTCGCTTCTATTTGCTCGTCGTTCCCTGTCCAGGCATTTATGGCCCGCTGACCAACAGGAGCGCGTGAATTTGAACATCCCATTTGTTTCAACGGGGCGTAAATGGAACCCAAATGCACAATAGTTTCGAGTCTACTTACTGTAAACGAAACTGGTCGAAGGTTTGGTGGGACACCTCTTGAATCTGTAAAGCTAAACGATGGCACATTATACCAACATTGTATTTTCTCTAGGTGTATTTGTGGCCCTAGGAGTTCTATCTTTATGATCGAGGAGAGACCAGTATTGAAGCAAACATAAACAAAACAGAGACTATAAGATTAGCCGAGCTTGGCAGAACGTACCTAAATCCTTACAACTTTGGGAGAAAAAAAAATCGAAAATATTTTTGGGCTTAGTACAGAGAAGGTGAAGCGTCAATTTTATATATTTTATAGATTTTTTTTTATATATCGAAACAGCAGCGTAGGCAGAAGCCTAAATGCCGGAACACCGCGGCTGCTATGATGATCCCAAAGAAATTTTGTTAGTACGATTTTTAAACTGCCTAAGGTTAGTAGAACTGGGAAAAGCTTCCTCTTGTAGGTTGTTCCACAATCTAGACACCCTCGGGACAAAGGAGCGGTCATATCTGGATGTAAGAAGTTTGACACGGTTAGGATGGGACGCCGAAGTCAGGCGGGTCTGTCTGGCAGGCACATCGTGCGGCGGCATCATGGAAGAGAGCTCTGAGGAGCAAAGCCCGTTGGTGTAGCGATAGAAAAGAGCTAGATCGCCGACGGCCCGCCGGTGCGAAAGAGTCCCGATACTGTCTGTTAGAGAAGAGTCATCGATCAGTCGGACCGCCCTCCTCTGGACAGCATCGAGCATGGACAATCTAGTCGGGGCGGCAGCACCCCAAATGTGTGAGCAATACTCGAGGCTAGGCCTTATCTGGGCCTTGTATAGAGTGAGAAGGTCATGCGGAGAAAAGTACTTCTTAGCCCTAAACAAATAGCCTAGCTTTTTCCCAGCAGCTGCAGCTATTGACGAGATGTGTTCGTGCCAGATCAGGTCTTCGGTGATCTGGACTCCGTCCAGCCGAAATGAATGGCTCTTTGCTAGAACTCGGCCGTCCATCGAAACTGTATGAGCGCTAGGACGCTTTTTGTTCGTCAAAGTACAGTACTGTGTTTTGGAAGCATTGAACTGTACAAGATTGTTGCGTCCCCAAGCAGTGATAGCCTCCAGGTCTCTTGTCAGTGAAGAAGTCGTCGCTAGTCTTCTTTTTTCCAGCTCAGCGGCAGAGGTCGGCTTGTCACTCTGAATTCCTGCATGTAGAGTGCTGTCATCAGCGAAGCTGTGGATTGGGTTGACCGTGAGGAAAGGAGGTCGTTGATATGTAAGAGAAACAGTGTTGGAGCCAAGACCGATCCGAGATATTTATTGATCACATTTCAGTAAATCAGGGGGGTCATGATGTATTATTTAAAAAATCACATGTTAGGCTACACCATATGAGTACAAGGGTAGGTCACTGCCACCCCGCTCTTCAGTTTTTAATTCCACCCCCGGTCCTTATTTAATATCAGTTGATTTTATTTACACCAAGGCTCCATCTCAAACATAATGCTGGTTATTTTCCCTTTAATCTATTCTGGGGATTCCCCATACACTATCACAGTTGTATGTTATCATCTGCTTTTACTTGTTTGGGGAGATCATCATTCGCAAAAAGAATAAAAATCAATGGTCCCAGCACTGATTCCTTTGGGGCGCCCAAAGATACAGGACATTTTTTAGATTCCGTATCTTGTATTTTTATCCTTGAATATCGATTTTTTTGTAGACTTTGAACCAGTCAAGTAGTAACCCTTTCATGTCTAACTGATGACGTTTGCTCGAGATTACTGTGATGTTAAGGCCGTCAAATGCTTTTGCTAAATCAAACATTATACTTAACTACATACTGATTATTGTCTAAAAGTTCATAGACAAAATCGATAAGAGGCCGACTCAACAGATTTATTTTTCCTGAAATCATGTTGTGAATAAGTGGTCAAATCATTGCTCCGCACAGTCTACAGCTATTTTATACAACATCGCTGCAATATTTTTGGTGGTTGGGGTTAACGAGAGACTTGTAGATAATTATCAGTAACATGCGAGTCTCCCTTTTTATGAACTGGATGGACTGGGATTCGGTGGGCTGTACTTTTGGGCACTCCCGAGCGTGTTTCTATTTAACGTACTGAAGTACTCGGGTCTTCTACTGCTTGTAGTACAACGTTCCCATCAGGGAAGAAAATTCATCCTTCACCATGTGCTTGATTTGGGAATCGTCCCTCTGAGAGTATACGGTGCAGATTCACAAAAACTAGGTGATCGGGTTGACGAGCAGTATTTGCGTGCCTTTCACGATAAAGCCTAGCTGCAACACTAACATTGCATCTACATTTCAAATAAATGAGGTGCATGTTGGCGTATTCCTGCACGGTGTACACAGACATGATAGCACTACACAATCATGAGTTGGTAAAAGTGGCGTTACTGTCTTGCTGTCACTAGGTAG